GCAATGAGAAAAATTCGACACTAGCTAACTTACGTAGACTCGAAGCCAAAAACGGCAAACCAAATATTATCCTCGTATTTTTGTAAAGCTGCAATAGCATTCGATCAAATCCTCGACTACGGCTAAAATAACAATTCTACCCATCACTAGCAGAATATCATGGTAGACGGTATGTATGTCAACGTGCCGAAGATAAAAACAAGAGCACTGTTTTGTACTCTCAAGTAAACAAGGAATGATAGAAAAAAAAAAAAAAAAGGACAAAAAAAGGGAGGGAGATATTGTTCGTATTAGCCGTAGTGCGCAAAACAAATCGCGTCCTTGAAGCAAATGAAATTGCATCTGTTTTCGATGCTTTACGTCTCTACCACTTTTTCACTGAATCGTTAGTCTGACAAGACACCGCGGCCGTGCCCATAGATGCCAAGAACTCGGCCTATTCAACAACAAGAAAAAGAAATCGATTATGTCGCGAGGCGTCTCTTTTTGACTCGTCGCAGTTTCACGGTCAACAATTTCTAGGTTATGGATATCGTTCGTACAAACAGAGCCACGCAAAAGAGCCTAACGATCTATGGGCAAAGGACTACGAGAGCCAAATTCACGAACTTACCTCTTTATTGCAAAAGTCCTAAAGCTCCAAGCGCTCGAACTCGTTGTTTTCTCGCCGACACTTAAGGGTTTCTTTTGGGCACAGCCGCAACAATGGCGGCCGCTTCTTCGTCATGAGACACCACTGCTGAACATAATTTTGCCGTCTCGTTCCTCCCTCGATATTCCACACCTTACTCGCGAGACCGCTACACCCGCTAACTCACCGCCCGCTCACTCGATCGGTGAAAGACTTTTCCGTGACGCTGCCGCGTGTTCGCGCTCGAACCTCGTAGAGCGAGCCAAACGTTTCGCAGTATTTCCGCGAGCGAACTGCCTGGACGCGCGACCGCCTCTGTGTGCGTGCGCCCCCTCCGTGTGCGGTTACGCCGCGCGCACACGCGCGCCCGCCCAATGGGTGTGCGGGCGCGCGCGCACTCAGGAGCGTACCAAGAGCGCCTCTCGGCCGCAGCGTAGCGAAAGGGACGAGACTGTGTCAGCCCGGGGTCCACGGAACCCAGCGAGCGATCACTGGTCGATGTTGCCCCACCAACTCCCCAGGTGGCTCCGCACCCACCGCGGAGTCCGACGCCTCGGGACTCCGCTGGTAAGCCCGCGAACGTTTCGGCGGATCGCCGTTGGAAGCGCGCCACTCGATCGATCGATCGGCCGTGACGACGACGCTCCTCTCTTTGGACGGGGGTGGGATGGAATGGGGGGACGAATCGACTGCCAAGGGCGGCCTTACCCCGATCCCCTTGGCCTTCGTCGTTATCGGGCCAAGGCTCGCCCTGGAGCAACGCGTTCAAATGGGGGCGGCGGCGGCGACGTCGATGATCAAGGGGCGGAGCGAGGAGGATCTTCTCCAAGATTCCCCATTATCACTGACGAGCGTGAAATGCGAAATCAATCGCTCTCGGCTACGCGCTCGAGGTGGACCGTGTCGGTCCTTGAAAAACATATATCCAGGTCATATTTATCGTATTATTAGGCATCGTCTCATCGATGCTTAACATGCTCTCGGAGAAGACGAGTTTAAGGATGTAAACATGTATTTTTTTATCTATCCTGATAAAGGACGAAGCATTTATCCAACTCGAGCACTCGTCATCGAGCACAGCAACACGTTTATTAGTATCTTGTAATTTACTCAATTTTTTGCAAAAAAGAAATAGAAAAGAAAATGAAAAAGAAAAAGAAAAAGAAAGAAGACTAGTGAAGAGAAGGAAGGGGAAGAGATGAGAGAGAGAGAGAGAGAGAGAGAGAGAGAGAGAGAGAGGAGAAAAGAGAAAGACAAACGATCTTATTTGAATGTAGCGATGAAGAATGTCGAGAAAAAGTCCTCTCCACACCACTACCACCACCACCACCACCACCACCACCACGACCCCTCCCCCTCTCCCGACCCTGTATACGTAAGAAGTTTACGAATGAGCGAGGCAGGTGAGAGAAATGCAAGTCGCGAGTCGATGAAGATAGAAGGGACGAAGGATTTAACATACACGACGATGCTTTTAATAAACATACACCAGCTCCCCGAACTAACCATCCACTCTCGGGTCCCGAATCTTAAGTCTTCCTTTTCGCCCGCGACTCCCCGCTCTCAGGATATTTCGAAGACTTTATTGCCCAGTATGCGGAGACATACGAATGAATATTCCGGTCCTTTCCCGCTGACGACGATCTGCTCGCTTTCCTCTCCGCTCCGGCACTCAACTGGATTTACGACACTTGTAAATCTTAAGGTTTGAATAGGATGTCAAGTGTGGCGCCAATGCTTCTTTCTTACGCGTAGTAGGTTTTATATATAGAAAAGTTTGCTTTCGTCGTTTATTGTACATATAAATAAAACGTGTATAAGAATAAAACGAAGATTTCTTCCCCCCCCCCTCTCTCTCTCTCTCTAACTCTCTCTTTCTTTTCTTTTTTTTTTTTTTTTTTTCTCTTTTGATTCGAGTATTTTCGCCAATGCCAGCTTTTGCAGAAAGTCGCTTTTACAAGGGTACGGTTTTCGAGTCTGCGCCTCAAAGTTACCGTCTATCTACGTGATAAAGGCATAGGTACAATCTTGCAATCTCGCAATCACGCAATCTCGCCAAGATTGTGGCATCGTTCCGTGTCGTACGGGATGAAATTGAGAATTCATTCCGTAACGAATTGGCCATTCATGCACTTCGTATATACGCACGCACTCATGCATGTCGATTTATTCAAATCTTACTTATTTAAATAGCTAAATGCTTTGTAAAGGAATGAATTTATAGATAGTTAAAAAAAAAGAAAGAAAACTGTATTTATTTTATTGTATATTTAGGGAGTAAAACGATAAGACCTATATATGTAGCTCTTATAATAAATGTGATGATGACAATAATAAGTAATAATAGTCTTGTCATTTATAAAAGAATTACAAATATTTTGTGTATAATGTTTCAAATCTTTATCATTGGCTAGATAATAACTTTTGTTATTAACTTGAAGATCGGTCCAATGAAATGGTAGCGGGGGTCATGGGTGGAGGCACCCACGTTAAATTAGCTAAATATCCACGGGTCTAGTTAAAATGAAGCTTTACGCATGAGAAACATAGAATGTACGTATTAGATGCAAGTAATGAATAAAAACATTTCTCTCTCTCTCTCTCTCTCTCTTATATATATATATATATATATATATATAGATAGTTATATAGATAGAATAAATATATATATAGATATATATAGATATAAATAGATATATAGATAGAATAAATAGATAGATATACATGTTGAGATGAAGATATATATATATATATATATATATATATATATATATATCTTCATCTCAACATGTATATCTATCTATTTATTCATCCATCAATCTAGCAGCCTATGTGTTATACATATATCTCTCTGTCTTTCTTCTTTTTTCCATCTCACTTGTTTTTACGAGCCTCAGTTAATTAGATCCAAACAGAAGAAACGGATAATTAATGGAAAAAGGACCAGATAGATGAGGGAGACTCGTGAGATAAGTTTTTTAACGCGTTTACCACGCTAAATGTAGTAGTACTCTACACTGCTAAATCCCCACTTCAACTACAATACTTTCAATTCGGAAAGATGAAGAAAAAAAGCTCTTATTTTTAGCATCCCCAGCATTAACAACGGGGATTATGATTTTGAGCAGTAGATGTTACAGAAGTGCGGGTCAATTTTCGCCTTTAAATTCATAATGTTAGTGTTTATTTTAAAATAGCCAATAAATAAAGCACGATAATGTTTAAAAGTATATTTTCCGTGTAGTTAAATTTTCCGCCTTCAAATTCAATAAATCGAAAGACTTCAATATGCGAATAGCCAATTCCAGACTACGGTCTTATAGCCAATTAAAATTAAAATCTAATACTAATTAAAATCCAACTCGCTATTTCCGATTAAAAAGTGTATATTTTTTATTTTATTGTCAATAGGCTGTCGTTGTTTAAATAATTGTGTAGCTTTGAGAATACAAAGGAGAGAATTCTTTTACGTTATTTTCGTTACATAAGATTTTCTATATTACTACGAGCCTCTCGGCGTCGTCGTAACTCAAAGAAAGATAGAAAGATAGAGAGAATGAAAGAAAGTAATGCTATCAAAAGGATAGGGCAGCGAGCGCGAGGTGGGGATGTGGTGAGGGAGTGAGAGTGGTTTTCTCCGTCGCGCGATTTCGTAGTTTTCTAATAAAATATTTTACTGACGCCAGCGTCCCCAAGCGGAGATTATCTTGTTACGCAAAGCTACGTCAGAGGGACTCGCTCGCAAACTCTCCTCCGTAATATCTTTTCTACACCCATGACATTTAATATATAACCGGATAAGTCAGCGCTACACGTGACAAAAATCTTAAGCTTCTTCGTTCGAGTTGAATCACATTCGACGAATTCCCTTCTAATTTCCATATCAATTTTATAATTGCAAGAAGATTTACGCAAGAAGCGGCGATCCTTTTAACATTCGCTTTTTTTTTTTAACCCTAACATGGCCATTCGTACGAGGCCTCGTCCTACTTGGCGCTTAAATCGTAAGATTTAATTTCGGCAATTAGCACCGCAAGTATTTATTAAATAGCCCTATTGTGAAAATGATCTTGTCATTGTGGTTCATCAAATTCAAATCCATCCTTAATTGACACCCCCCCCCCCTCCCCGCACTCGACTCTCTCACTCACTCTCACTCGCTCGCTCACTCACTCACTCACTCTCATTCACTCTCACTCACTCTCACTCACTCTCACTCACTCTCACTCACTCTCACTCACTCTCACTCACTCTCACTCACTCTCACTCACTCTCACTCACTCTCACTCACTCACTCCACTCTCACTCACTCTCACTCTCGCACTCTCGTTCACTCATCAGCCACCAAAGGTATGAACTAGCGGACGAGCCTCGTCGATTCGATCCGACGCGGCGATTGGCGGCGGCGCTGAGGCTGCCAGCTGATCGCGGGACATCAAGATTTAGTCGCGACACCTTGGCGAGGCGTTCGAAGGGAACGAAGCGCGAGACAAAAGAAGTTCGCCACCGCAAAAAAATAAACATCGGGGTGGAACAAGAAAAGGACGAATAATGGCATTGAACGCGCTGAGACAGCGGGTGACGGTAGGCAGTGTGCGCCGGCAGCATCGTGACATCCTAGCATTTCTCCGACCGAGACTCGTCATGTGCGATCCCGGTTGCCGAGCAGCCAGCAAGGTAGGCAAATTCAGCCGGTGTATGAGCGTTCACGGAACTGTTACCCTTTCTACTTTCCGACGCCACATAAATATTCATTTCCCTTGAAAACTCTTCTCCTCTTTCCTTCCAATACACACGCACACACGCACGCACGCACGCACGCACGCACGCACACACGCACACAAAACACGTTATCCCATAATCTCGCCTCACTTTTCGACTTTGCCTTCGACTTCTTTCTTATACGTGGGATCGTGGCCGACCGACTCGTCTCCTACTCGGTTTGTGTCCTTATTTATCGTTATACGCTTTACATAATCAGAGGTGATAATAGTCCGCGTTAAGGGTTTCCTATTTACTGGGCGTAATGTAATTTCACATGGAATTGCTGATTATAAGGACGATTGAGGATAGTTAGTTCGATGGCTTTAATACGGCATTCGACGATGTCTCCAATTGTCCTTATGGCACACTACAAAGTAGATTTTAGGTTATATGCATTCTATTTGCGGTGACAAACGAAAAGTGTGTTGAGCGAGCCAATATAGAATTGTTATGTCACATATGAAGTTCAGGGTTAATTATAATCGAAGATAAAGGTTATTCGAAGTAGGGCAGAGCGCCCCTATTATTGAAAAAATCTATTCTCATCGAAAAAATTTCGAGCGTATTAATTGTTGTAATGAATAATAATTAAACTTGAAATTATGATAAGAGCCGATAATAATTGCCCTGGATTTTAATACGGATGATTGTGATTCGTTATTGTACCCGTAATTGGAATTTATGTTGGATGCTTCGGATAATTTAAATGTCGATATTTAAAAGCATCGATCGTGGCAAATTCTACATTAAGAAAAATTCACCATTTAATTTAACTCGATTCATCTCGATATTCGTCATTTTAAGCGTATTACGATATTAAAAAACGACTGTTTGAAATTAATTGTAAAATGGAAAGTTTTCATAAACTATTTGTGTATTTGGACTAGCGGTAATATTTATAAGGGACACAGTGAAGATTCTATTTAGTCGTCGATGGCAACTGAATTCGAAACATAAATGGTTGTAGGCGCGAGGCGCGCTATTTTCAAAACTTTCCTTTGACGTTAATTCAATCACATATCTTAGCTTACAATTAATAATAACATAGTTAAATTTTCAACAATGAATAATGCTTATAAACAAAAATAAAAATTAATTACTCTCGTGAGTAATAAAAAAATTATGATATTCGGGATTAATATTGCTATTGCAAATTTGTAAACGCTTAACAATTAATTGAAATCACAATGAAATAATTGTCTTTAGAACTCTACTCGTCCAATACAATATAAATTTCTATTAAGTTTTATAATAATAATTTGGAGATGATCATCTATCATCATCCTATCATTAAATAATTTATAATATTAATAAAAATTGATAAAATATGATTTTTATGTATAATTGATAATGAGATTATAATGTAATCGATATATACGATGTGAAAGTGATGTAACGTTTGAGTAGCCAATTATTTTTTTCAATTAATGAATTAATTTCAAGAAGACGCAATTCTATAAGAAATATTTAATTGTAACGAAGAAAATTATATTCCATCTTAATGTCTTGTTTATTTCATGCCTTTTCAATATAATGATATTATACATCGACTTTTAAAAGTGTTTACTGCAACATTGACGAATTGTATCCTTATCATTAAAGAAGATATCTATAAAAAATAGTTCGAGTCATAATTTATTATTAATTATTTTTACCTCTACTTAAAAAAAATATCATTAATTATAATCAATAATTCATATATTTATTATCGCTTGCTATAGCATTATGTAGTATAATATGTAATATATAATAATTGAAAAAATTTTTTTTTTTTTTTTTTTTTTTTTTTTTTCGAAATTATTAATATACTATTTTATAGTATTGCAAATTTGCACTTTACAAAGACTTCTTGCGTTATCTATCAGCGGAAACTATTTTCGTATTCTATGCACTGGGTAATAAACTTTAAAATAGCATTAGTAAATACAAGGTTACTCATTATGCACTATAAAGTTGATGTTTTATAAACACATTATAATTATACTTTTCACTTAGTGTCAAGCTGATTGTTGCCAATTTCTAAATGCAGTGTATTTTAAACTTGTTTAAAAATGATTAATGTATTTATTTTAAAAACGCTTGAAAATTATATTGCAATTTCGGGTATAGAAGTGTCAACAATAAGCTTTAAAGTGTAGTTAGTTGACTCATCTAATACCGATTCTACCTGTTTACACTTTATCGTAAAACTATTTAATAAAATATCGATAATTTTGAAATATATGCGATTTCGTATAAACAGAAATGAGAAATGCTGGGGGCAATGGAGGTGCAATTTTTAAATTCAATTAAACTAATTTGTAAAAAAATACTTCTAATTAATAGTGAAAAATAGAATAATTACTTTGTTTAATGTAATTTTTAAATGAGTAGCTAAATTTAAAATTAAAAAATGCTTGAATCTATAAGAGATCTAGTTCGACGATCAAAAAATGTAATGTATTCTCATAATAAGAAATTAATTGGGGTGTTTATTTTTATTTGTCAAATTTACTTTGATAAAATTGAATAAATATCAACATCCCGTTAAATAAAATATGTTTAAAACAATGTGATATATAGGCTTTTTTTCTTCTTTTTTTTTTTGTGAATAATAAAATAATGAAACAAGAATTAGATATTTTAATAAATGATGACTATTGAAGAAACGAAACAATGATATTTTTAAAAAAAGTTTTTTAAATTAAATATGCGAGAAAGTGTAAAATCCTTGACTGCTATAGCTGATGTTTTTTCTTTTTTTTTTGTTTTTTTTTTTGTTTTTTGTTTTTGTTTTTTTTTTGTTTTTATTTGCAACTCATATATCCTATAGTATATGCGTACATAAATAATTGTTTTCAGGCAAATATTTCAATGATATTATATCTTTTTTTTTCCTTATTGTTTTTCTCGCTATCTAGTAGTTTAACTCAAATATTTTTAACTTTTGAGCTTGAATTATCAACGTTTCAATATCGTAATTACGTTTTATTTATTGGTGTGGTATATATTGTATTTTATGTATTTAGTGGCATTTATAATGATTGATGCAATTCAATTGCACTATTAATCTTCTATATAAAACGACAATTAGATTTTCGATGTATAATCTAATATTGTATAAGATACTTCGTATTTGCATGTAAATTGATTTATCGTTTAATTCTAGTCAACTTTATATTTAAATTTGTTTTCTAAATTTAGACAATCTTCAATTTATTTATTTCTAAATAAACAATTTACATTTAATTACAATGTTTGCAGTACATTCAATCGGAGTAGCATAATTTTCAAAATTTCCAATACTTTTGTTCATACGGAACGGTATAATTTACTACAAATTTTTTTTGTTTAAATCATGCGTATGAAAACCATCTATAAATGAGATAGAATTAATTTTTTAAGCATATTTGTTAATTCGGGGTCATATTTTATTATCATTAATAAAGTATAGAGGAACAAATCATATAAAATTAAAAATATAATTAACAATTATATTATAATTTTTTTAAATTTATTACAGTTTTTTATAATGTAAATGATACTTTTGAATGAAAGTAATTCCATTTCATCGGTAAAGTGAATCGTTAAATTAGGTATTTAATTCTCATTTCAAATTGACAGTTTCTTGATTAAATTATGTAAAAAGAAAAATTGGGTTTTGTTTGATATTTGTTAAAATTTTTATTCATTTCGACTACATAATGTCCATGTATCCTACTAATCCTTCCAGTTGTCTTATGTCTACTAGGAGTAACGATTTAAATCTATTTTTATAAATTGCACATTTAAATTATTAGCAACAAAAACAGTTTTTATGGCTTCATGAAACAAGCAGAATAGTGTTCGAACTCGGAATTTTTTTTATCATAATTATGCAAAAATAAGTAACCGACTAATTTTTAATATAGCATATTAATAATTACGAATATACGTATATTTATTATAATATCGGACAACATTGGAAAAAAGATGAATGGAATCTGATTTGTTGTACAATAAGCGTATCAAAACTTGTTATTAAACACTGCAGTTGAAAGCACCGTTAACATAAAAAAAAAAAGTACAACAATATTATTTATAGTTTTGCGACAATTTTCATCGAAAAATGCCTTATTTATACTATAACAAGATGATAAGATTAATAAGAAAATCAATGAAAAATTAGAAAAATGAATATGTCAATTACGCGCGCGTATTGTGTTGTATAAATTCAAAAAGATTGGTACTAGTTTAGGAAAATACCGAAAAAACAAATGTGACATACAATAATACATCGGGTTAACGCTAAACAATGTTCAATTTCATAATACAAAAGTGAATAATAACAAGAGTATCGTCTTATGTACCAGAGTAGATTTAAAGATACGAATTGTAAAATATTCAATTTGATTTAAGGTAGCTCGAGTACGGTGTCATTCGGATTTAAATGGCACATAACTGATGGACCGATCTAGATTTTAAAGATTTTATCCATGAATAAAACAAGCGACTTATTATCGTTAATTATTCCAATAATTCATAAGTTTAATTAATATTGAATACACCTGTGCCTGAAGCGATCGGCTGTAAGAAAAATAACTCATATTCGAAATGTGTTCGTATTGTTGTGCAACTCTTTCGTTCGCGTTTGCTCGAGTATGCGTCTCTCTCTCTCTCTCTCTCTCTCTCTCTCTCTCTCTCTCTCATTCTCTCTCTCCCTCAGTGTGCGCGTGTGTCTGCGTGCGAGCGCGTATGTGTATGTGTAACGAATTTGTGACTTCCGCTTATATCGGATACTGCCGAGGATGATGCCTCGCTGAATTTTAGTGTTTCGCCACACCTCGTGCTAACCCAAGCATCGCTCGTGTCGACTCTCGATTATCCCTTTCTCTCGTTACTCACCGATCTACCTCATCATGCAAGACTCGATCGTTCGTATTTATGTCTTGTCATCGATGATGATAACGATTTGCCCTGTCGCATTTTCTACGTCCACTAATAATTGCTTTTCACGTTATAGGGGAATGACAAATTCAGGATCGAAAAGGACACGTTTGGAGAGCTAAAAGTACCGGCTGATAAGTATTATGGAGCCCAAACCATGAGGTCCGTCATCAACTTCCCAATTGGTGATAAGTCCGAGCGCATGCCAGTAAATTTTCCTATTTTATCTAAAATTAGGCGAAAAGCGCACAGACTTATTAGATGCTGAACGATAACCCTCTTTTCTTTTAGCAAGCCGTGATCGTCGCGATGGGAATATTAAAAAAGGCTGCCGCCGAAGTCAACAAGGAATTCGGGCTCGATCCCAAAGTTGCCGACGCTATCAGTAAAGCCGCCGATGACGTAATCAGTGGCAAATTATACGAGGATCATTTCCCCCTCGTCATATGGCAAACTGGCTCTGGAACGCAAACCAACATGAACACAAATGAAGTTTGTTGATTAGAGAGGCCATTTTCGAATGTTACTTATCGTGCATTTAAGCCGCGTATTTTACAGAATCGGAGCAAACTTCTTACTTTAGTCATTGTAAAAAGAAAAATGTTCATTTCTATCGTAATAATCAATTTAATGCCCATCACCGAAATACCGTGACTGTCAAAATTATTACAATAATAATAATAGTCTTATTGTCTATATCGCGATCGTCTATAAAAATAAGGCATTTTCAATATAACAAACTATCTTGAGATCATGAGCCTTAACGTCTTAGCCTTAATTTCCCTTTCACTTTTCATTTATTCACTACGCACGTGCAATTAAATTAAAATAACATTTTTATTTACGAATTTAAAAATTGTTTTTGAAAACAAGTACGAAAAAGTTACGACGACCCTAAGAGTGAAGAATTTTAATATAATCCATATACTTTATTTAAATTATTAAATTCAAGTGGCAATACTTTTTTCTTTTTGCACTCGGAGCCGAAGAGACTATTAACTACACTGCCCAACGCTATACTAAGCTATAATAAACGAAGCACTGTTAATTCGTTAGTCTTGCACGAATATCAATTATTATTTTTCTTTCTCACCCTAAATAGAATCTCTAATTTATGTCCTCGAGTCTAAGCTCGTTTCTTTAATTCAGGTTATTTCGAACCGAGCGATCGAGATCTTGGGAGGTCAACTGGGATCGAAGAATCCAGTTCATCCGAACGACCATGTAAATAAATCACAGAGCTCCAATGATACTTTCCCGACAGCGATGCATATCGCTGTTGCCTTAGAAATTAATAAGATCCTGCTTCCCGGTCTACGAAGCTTATATTGCGAACTCAAGAATAAATCCAACGAATGGAAAGACATTATTAAGATTGGAAGAACGCATACGCAAGATGCCGTGCCACTTACTCTCGGTCAAGAATTTTCAGGTTTGTAAATTGATATTTTCGCCAGACGCATTAAAATTATCATTGGCTCACTTTTGTATTGGTAGTTCGTGCCGGTGATTTTTATCAATGTTTAATTGTTGAAAAGTGACTTTTCAATGATGCCAAAGCATTGCAACAACACTCCATTAAAGCGTATAAGCATACAATTCGTTGAATTACTCATTCGTTTATTTACAATGTCATTTGTATTTTAGAAATTTTTATAGACTATACAATAATAATGCTGGTACGAAATTTATTGAAAGATTATATTCATTTGTCATTTTTTATTCTTAAGAATTTATCGACCAATTATAATTTGATAACTGTAAGAGTATCGTTATTATAAATGTAATGTGATTATAAACTATTTTCAAAAATTTTTTAGAAAAAATGGAGATTAGAAACACTGCGAAAAACTAGGATAATAAATGTGCGTTTGTCATTGCGAATTGACCCTGCGAATTAGTATCGCAAATATCATTTTCCGTTAACTCAGTCATTTAATAACTTTGGACGTCTGAAAATTTTAAACACGATAGTTGCGTTATCGATTATTAAAATCTTCCTACTTTTTTTTTTGTTTTTTGTTTTTTTTTTCATCAAATTATCGAATGAAATCCCCAACGTTATCGAGTAAATTTTTTTATAACTTTAAGTTGTCATTGCTTTGTTCTTTTCATTATATATATATATATATATATATATATATTTTAATAAAAAATAAAAAGAAAAAAAAGTTAAGACAACAAAGGGTTAAGGAGAAGAGACGAGTAAGGGAAACAATGACTGTCGTAAAAATGTGTAAAACGTGTTTTTGTTTTTCAGCTTACGCGACGCAACTGGAAAACGGAATCGCACGAGTGGAAGGCACACTGCCGAGACTCTATCAGTTGGCACTTGGTGGTACAGCCGTAGGCACAGGGTTGAACACGAGAAAGGGCTTCGCTGAGAAGACGGCCGCGAAAATCGCATCCTTAACCTCTCTGCCCTTCGTCTCGGCCCCCAATAAATTTGAGGCACTTGCCGCACACGACGCCCTCGTCGAGGTTCACGGTGCCCTGAACACCATCGCCGTTTCCCTTATGAAAGTACGTCGATTCGCCTAATTCGCCTCTGGATCTATTTACTCGAAGCCTATTATTAGCCAAGATGATAATTCAGAATCTTCGCGGATCTTGCTTTTGAAGTACGTTTGAAAGCGCAGTCGCCTTAACAGTTTCACAGGCGATTTAAATTTTATTATTAAAAATAACTTCTCCGTTTGCGAAGCTGACGACGTCGCGTTAATAGTTAAAAGTGGCAAAAGTGGCTCGAGCGCGCTCTACTTGATGGCGCGGTGCTGAGCATCGGGGCATTACGTTTATCGCGACCCGTCACGAAAGCCAACGACGTTGCTTAATGTACGAACGATTGCCAGGTCGCCAACGACATTAGATTTTTGGGAAGCGGCCCACGATGTGGACTCGGCGAGCTTTCTCTACCCGAAAACGAGCCCGGCAGCTCCATCATGCCCGGCAAGGTCAATCCAACGCAGTGCGAAGCCCTGACAATGGTCTGCGCCCAGGTGATGGGTAACCACGTGGCTACGACGGTGGGCGGCAGCAACGGCCACTTCGAGCTCAACGTATTCAAGCCCGTGATCGTGGCGAACGTCTTGAGATCCGCGAGGCTTCTGGGGGATGCGTCGAGCGCGTTCACGAAGAACTGCGTGGTCGGCATCGTGCCGAACATCGACGCCATCAACAAGATCATGAACGAGAGCTTGATGCTGGTCACCGCTCTGAATCCTCACATTGGATACGATAAGGTGAATCTGTGTTTTCGCGGCTTGGGTAAATCGCTCGCCGAGATAATGGCGATAATACGCTAATCGGGCGTTGATATTCTTTTATCAGGCTGCGGCTATCGCCAAGCAGGCGCACAAAGAGAAGCTGACGTTGAAAGAGTCGGCTTTGAAAAACGGTCTGACCTCCGAGCAGTTTGATGAATGGGTCAAGCCAGAGGAAATGCTCGGGCCCAAGTAACGAGATGGACGAGATGAATGAAAAGTTGTTTCAAATGTCAGTGGGACGGGGCGATGGAGTGAGGCGGCGGCGGCGGCGGCGGCGGCGGCGGTGGCGGTGGCGAGCCAACCGACGACGATGGAGATTAACGCAAGAGTCCAACATGACTACACTACTATAAATACGCTATTGTTAGGAGAATTATTGGAATGAAAATTTTTGAAATATTATTTATAAGTAGGATAGACAATTATCGGAAATAAAAAATATAATAAATTACACGTGGCTACTTTTCATTTACACATTGCGAGATATCGTACATCCGATCGTTTCTATTTCTCTTCAAGTTGGTCTGAAAAATTTGTCTTCTTGTATTATTATTATCGTGTTAAGGAAGGGACGGGGAGTGGAGTGGAGTGGAGTAAAAAGGTCATTTAGTAATCTTCCTCAAGACTCGTCGTCACACCGATATCAATCCTTCGCCCGTAAACACGAGTCTTGTAGGCGCGAGAATGCTCGCACGCTGCGTTAAACGAATTTTTTTCAAAGTTGGCGACCGACATTACGGAAAAGTTGGAATTATCGGAGTGCCTTTTGAGAAGGGACAGGTATATTAGTCAATCGTGCACGATGCTGCTTATACACTTTGATAGTGATATTTATTTTTATTGCTTTTGTTAAACTTTCGTAGAGGAAAGGAGGAGTAGCACTGGCTCCCGATGTAATAAGATCGGCAGGACTTTTGGATGAATTGAAATCCTTAGGTGAGTGACACTCATAAGCAAATTTGAATTATTAATTATATTTCGTCTCACGCTGCTCATTGTATTATTTATTGAATCATTGCAGGACTAGATGTTCGAGATTATGGAAACGTTGAGTACGACCCGTCGGATATTAGTGTTGATAATATGTCACATTTGGGTCATGTAGCTGGATGTACACAGAGATTGTCAGAGATGGTTCAATGTGTTTTACAAGATGGTAGAAATATTTTAACAATTGGAGGTGATCATAGTATAGGAATTGGTACTATAGACGGTCACGTAAAGGTTAATATATAATGCAAAGAAAAACTTGAACGCAAAATGCAACGTTGCAAGGTGTTTTTTTTTTTTTTTTTTTTGTTTTTTTTTTATTTTTAGACAAACAAAAATATTGCAATATTGTGGATTGACGCTCACGCTGATTTGAATACAAATAAAACTAGTGAAAGTGGAAATGTTCATGGAATGCCAGTAGCTTTATTAACTTCAGAATTAGCCGACTATTGGCCCTATTTACCAGGAATGGATTGGCAGCAACCAATGTAAAAGTAATTTAATCGTATTTAAATAATTACGTTAATTAAGTTAAATGTCCATTAATAATTTTCAGGCTATCTATAAGGAATGTAGCATACATTGGCTTAAGATCGGTGGATCGTTATGAAAGATTGGTCATAGAAAAATTTGGTATAACTGCCTTTGGCATGGAAGATGTTGAAAGATTTGGTATAATTATAAAAACTTTTAAAATTCTATCTAATCAAATTTTCAGACAATTTTAAGTCGCAAAGTCCGTGAATTTTATGACAAATTGAAAATAAAACAAAATATTAATTTCTCAAAATTCTTATTAATAAAAATTAAATGTATTTTCATGAATAGGACATAGAGAATTTGATAACGGGCTCTGAAAATATTGTAATTTTCAGGAATTCATCGCGTCATACATATGGCATTAAAAAAAATTGATCCTGATAATAATAAATCGCTACATGTTAGTTTTGATATTGACTCGTTAGATCCACTCGAAGCTCCTAGTACTGGAACTCCAGGTACCTATACTACCTATTATACACTACTCAATAATAACAATATAATACCATAAAAGACAAAATTCAAAATAATAATTTCTTAAACAGTTAGGGGAGGCTTGTCCTTGAGAGAGGGCATACACGCAATGGAAGAATTATATCGAACTTGTAGACTAAACGCAGTTGATTTAGTTGAAGTAAATCCAAAAATTGGAGATCAAAAAAGTATCGATTTAACCGTCTCTGCTGCAATACACATAATCCAAGCTGGATTTGGATACACAAGACGTGGCTTAAAAGTTCCCGAAGGTGTTACAGACATGCCATTGCAAACATTTAGATAATAAAACAAATGCAACTGAAATTATTATTCCTCTTTTATTAAAACTTTTGATACTAAAACGTCTCTCTACTTTCTACTACTTATAATATTAACAATTGGGTTGACAATTTTCAATTACCGGATACTCATAATATAATTACCCAAGCATTGGGCTTTTGAAATTTTCATCGTCATCTTTATCTTTATTAATTTTCCATCCGTGTTTACGATCATTCATTTCTTTGATCGTAAACATTGTTATTGGCTCACTTAAATATTTCGTTCCTTCAAAATGACAATTCCACTCAACTCTAAATGCTCAAATAATGTAAGTAAAACATCGAATTCATAATAATAAATTTCTCCAAAAAATTCAATTGTTTAGAAAATATCCATATGAAAGCTCGATAGAAAAAAAAAGAAGATACGAATTAATAATTATGCGATACGTCTTTTAGACTCTTAAATATAAACGAATATTTTCTGCTTAAAATTACAAATGGTAACAGATAACTTGTTACAACAATTGTAGAATACATAAACCGGCTCAATTATTATTATGTAACGAATAAATTTAAAAAAGCAACTAAAACAGGAAATTATACAAACACAAGATGACATAACAAATAAATAATATCTAATAGAAGCGATAAGTTTTTAATACAATTTTCATAATACGTGAAACACCGTTTTATTATAAAATATTTATTTCTCTAATTTAATCATTGAATTATTATGTAAAAAATAATTGATTCGAATGATTAAGGAAAATTGATCCTTAAGTAAAACTCGAATATACATTTTATAATGTTTGCCTAATGTTGAGAAGATATAAGCGCAACAGTATAATTACTTTTTCATAATTATTTGAAATGTATTTGAAATGTTCGGAATACGTATCCTTGATTATCGTCCAGTTTGTGCATCCTGATCCATATAATTTTATATTTCATTTACCATTACAGCAAAACATTTATTAAAATCCACTATACATTTACACTATCTAAACGCATAATAATGAACAAATACAATTTTAACATGAATTTGTTAATTAGCTTATTATTATTATTATTATTATTAATTCTTTTAAAAAAATTTTAATTTAAAAGCCAAACATTTAATTAAAATAAAAAATCTTTTAAATACTACTTCGTTTTGTGAGAAAAATCGAAAAATAATCAGATGTATATAATAGATATTTTGCATTGAAAAACGATAGTTGAATTATAAGCAAAATAGTCGTCTCTTTCCAGAAAGACAAAAATTATGCAAAAATTTTTATTTTATTGTTAAATCGAATACTTTCGGTTGTTCTTATCGTTACTCTCACGATTTAATGGAATTTGTAAAGTTTTCAATACATACGTTACACACACATGTATCATTCATATTTTGTTCGATAGTGTATGTTGGCTTCCCGTGTTTATTATCAATAGAATTTGTAGTTTAACAGTTTCTTTATATAAGTATTTAAGAACAAAAAGAAGGGAAAAAAATGATATTGAGTTTTAAAACGAGAAAATTTTGTATTTCGTCGTCTTAATAATCAGTTACTTAAAATTTCAAATAGTAAACTATCGGCTAACCTCACTTTAATACTTTCTATGTTATGTTCAAATATGAATTTATCCTGTAAGAAAATATGCTTTAAAAATGTTGAAGCTCCGTCAAAAATAATTAAGTTAATAACAAAAATATGTAACAATAGCAGGAATTACTGTAATACATGTGTACCTCGTGTCTATCCCTTGCAGAATCAAACTCGTAAAATATGCTTTTACACTTTTAAAAACAATGTTAATAATAATTTAGTATTCAAAATTTTATCAATAAATTATTTAAAATACTCGAGAACTGCGTTAGAATTACCGCCACCAGTGCCAGAGACAATTGAAACTCTACCTGAAGTTGATACATTTGGTAATATAGGAGGTTTAAAATATGAAAGAGTTGAATTAGATGCGGAAGAATTAGAAGAAGAAGAAAGAGTAAAAAATGTTCCTGGGCAAGTACCGAGAAAGTACAAGCCAAGGTCAGGGGATTATATTAAAATGATAAAAAATCATATAATTAAAGGTGAAATAAATCTTGCTGAAGAAGTAATTCAACTGTGTATAAGAAACCGAGACAAGCCCGATAGATATATGTATACATTGATAATTAATGCATTTGCGATACAGGGAGATATTAAACAATGTTATAAATATTACACCGATATGAAATTGCACAAGCTTAAGATGAAAGAAAATATCTATACCAGTTTATTTAACGCCTGTGCTAATTCATCGAATTCGGAAAAAGCATTGTACTATTTAGAAAAAATAAAGGATTATATGAAAAAAAGTGGAACTCCTATGAATCATGCACATTATAATGTTTTAGTAAAAGCTTATGGACGCCATAATGAATTCAAGAAATCAGAGAAATTAGTTCAATATATGATAGATCATAATTTGAAAATCGGCATATCAACATTAAATAGCCTGATGTACGCTGCCAATACCAATACAGCTACTGGCTTAGGTCAAATTATTAGTATCTGGCAATTTATGCGACAACAGCAAGTAAGAAATACTTTTTTATCTTTCAAATTCAATAAAATATTAAAAATGTTAATATAATTACTACAATCATGCTATGTTGTTTTAGATCCCACCCGATATCTTTACTTACCATCTTTTACTGAGAGGCGTCCGTGACACTCATTTTGGAAATTTAACATTTAAAAATTTACTTACTATGAATAATCAGACACCGGTGTCGTTAAACTTTAAAAATATATCAGATTTATTAGCAAATCCACCTGTCATTGGTTATCTTCCACCTAACAGCGTTACAAAAATTCCACCATCTAACGAACTACCAGATTTTGTATTTAGTTCCCTAGAAATTAAGAAAAACAAATCGACAGATTCGAATGCTCCTGTACCTTCGAATGAAAGTTCGCTAGAAGCCTTACCACCTTCTATCGCCGATTTGCACTTGGACAGTGTACTAGCGAAAAATAAGTTAATTCTCTTTGGAGGACTCGACGGATTATTAGAAAGAATGAAAAACGATAAGATAAATCCATGTTTAAAAACATTTTCATATTTAATGGAGTTAGCTCCAGGTTCTGTCGCAGCAGAAGAGACAATTATAAAATATGCAAAACTACACCAAATCAAACTAGATATAACTTTCTTTAATATATTGATAAAAAAACGTTGCACTCGAGGAGCCAAAAAGGAAGCTAAAGTAATAAATCATCGATTGCCTTTATTTTTCCTATCATTTCCTCTAATAATTTAATATCCTGAATTCAATTAATATACTTTTAATCAATTTTTATTTATTTGACATTAGGAAGTAGTTAATTATATCCATAAAGCCGATTTGAAGCCTAATATTTTTACTTACGGTGTTCTGGCTCTTGCGTGCGTTACACCAATGGAGTGTCTAGATCTCCTCGAGACTATGAAAAGTACTGCCTGTAGTTTAAATAAATACATAGCTTTTCCATTCATTGAAGTTGGTATATCGAAGAATAATTTCATGTTTATATTAAAAATAGACGATAACATATTTGAAATATTGGATAAATTTCAGCAAAATATGACAGCTTTAATTAAGAAAAAGGTAATAATAAAAATAAAAGCATTGACAATATATAGTGAAAATGTAATATAAGCAGACAATTTGTATAACAAGTACGTATATGTCATTTCAATTAGGATAAATATACTACAACGGAGAAATTTAAAACTGGATTCTCAAAATTCAATATGAGGTATAAATGTTGGCAAGAAGAAATGGGTAGAAAAGTCGTAGTAGAACGCCAATAATACTATATGTAAATATTATTGTACATATTACAATGTATTTAAAACGATTAAAAAGTTGTTATAAAATAATAAGACATTATAATGTATAGTTCTTTGATAATTATGTACACGATTATTCTCATACATTTACAAAAATTGTTTTTACACAAAACATTTTTTGTAATAAAAAAAAAAACTTGTTAAATTACTTGATTCTTTAAATATTAATTAGAATGAACTAGCGCATATACGACGGCCGAGTCTCCGATACCCAAGGTCGACTCCGTGAACTGGACATAACACCTCTCGATTGGCTCGATCCTCGAATACTGAGTTTGTTATAACCGGTGGGCCCAGTCGGTTGTGCCCCACATGTCTCCAATGCCACGAAGTCGTCAACGTGAAGCGAGGGCGGTCTCGAGGTATTCGGTGGTCGAGAGCGAAATGGATCGGCGCCCCTTCCAACGCCACCTCCCACCGAGTTGCCCCTCATGGAATTAGAATACTGACTTCTGCCTCGCATTGGTGTAACTACAAGTCATGAAAATTTAAAAAACGAAGATTAGATTTTAATCATTTTCCATTGGACCATCGCTGCGCCAATGTGCGTTCTGTGCTTTAATCGTCATTAGTCATTAAATTTACTGTAATAATTATTACCAAAAGGCTGTTTCGTTTTAGTCGTCGGTGCATTGATTTGCTTCTGCGTTTCCCTGGAATCTTGAGATTCGTCTTGACCCTTCGAATGACTTGTATAATGAAATGGCGTTTTTGAACAAACTCTTTGCGCTTCAGCTAATAAATTAAAATCCGCCGGCAAAAGTTCCGTGGCCAATGCTAATAAATCTACAGTATTATCATTTTGTACTTCTAACAATGACTTATTCACTTTTTCTTTCTCATTGGGAACGGCGGCTGTGGATCGCTGAGCAAACTGATTCAACAATGCTTCGGGTGGTAAGAGCAACGGCTCCAGCATTTCCGGTATTGGTTCTTTATCTTCTTTATCTTCGGCAGCTAGCAAAGCTTCAACTAATTCCGCGGCTTGTGGGATTTTCATTATCGGATGACCTTCCTTCTCCCAAGAGAGGACTATCGATATCTGCGGTATACGTAGAAATAACGTTCTCCCAGGAGCTTCGCAACATGTCAAACTATTTATGAAATTTACAACGAGTTCTGATAACGAGTCACCTTTTCCCTGCTCCTTCTTCTCTGAAACGGCTTTAACAAACATATAACATTACATCGACAATTAACTTACTATCATCTCTCGTAAAATTTATAAACACATCATTTATGAGTACCTTCGGCTATGTAATCAAGAAGACTTCTTAAAGCGTCGGGATTGTTTTCTAAGCAGCTCTTCACATGATAAAGACCATAATTATGGCTGGTTAGAGACATTATGATATATAACGTAGTCTCGACAATGTCGACTGGATACTTGGATGCACCTGCCAGAATTTCAATCAGAGCAGCGATAATTACAAGTAAAGGCTCTTTACTGGGAACGGAGTGAGCCAATTGCTTCTCCAGCGGTTCTCCGCTCTCCTGCACGAAGCTAAGCTTATAATCGCAAAGTGTTTCAAAAATATCGATTAGCTCCCTCTGAGCATCGGCGATCTTGGTATTTCTCAATGTCGTGCACATCATCTCAATCACAGGGGGATACTTTTGATCGGACTTTACTTGTGCGCGCGACGCTGGATTCGTAAGCGTGAGAAGAGTCGCTTTCATCGGCGCGTGCCTCGTTAGATTACGTAGCAAAGCCAGTATTGGCAAATTATTATCTAATGGATTGGCTGTAAGAATCCCATCCAGAAGACATCTACCGACCAATAATGCAGTTGGTGCAGCTAAATCGCTCAGCTGCTTACACACGGTAGAAACAAATATAAGTAGTTCTGAATTCCAGCTCGCGCACATCAATCTATTTATCGTATGTATTATTAAGTGAGAATTATGCGTGTATGTTATAGAAAATTAAAGCTAATTAATGTTAAATGGGCGTGGGCGTTTAATGCCAATCTTTACCAACAATGCCTCGTCATTCCAATATAACTTATCGATATATATATATATATATATATATATATATATATGATAAATTTCATTAAATGCTAGGCTACAGGTACACTGCTCGTTTCACGCAGAATCGGTCGTTTCAAATTTAATGGTAAAGATGGACATTCGATGAAAGCTTATAATTTTCGATTCGCCATTTACTTTATAATTTATATTAATGCACTTTACCTGAGAGTTTCGGTAAGGCTACTCGCTTGAGCTTGAAGATGTGCCGACCATAATTTCCTGAATCCCAATACTCGAATTTTGTCCTTGGAGCTTGTTTCCTTCGACGTTAAAATCGGTGGCAACAGTTTGGCTAAAAGCTTCACGCCTGATACGAAGAAGCACGGATTCGACGATACCATTTTCAAGACTTCGCCAAGCATCTGTGTCCATAATGATTTGGCGACGTTGCCCGAGCTGTCCGAGTCTACCGCACGCGTGAACACCAAAAGCGTCTCGACAATTTCATTGGACAGCATGGACGTAGAGCTCGTCGGTGGCATCGCCTCGATCAGACAATAAACCCCGAGTAATGGAACTATCGCGGTCGAGTCTTTGAAATCCGTGGCCATGCATTTGACGAGTCGCTCGAGGATCGCCCTGGTTAGCCTCGTGCAAGGTACCAACAATGTAAATAAAGCTAAACGTCGCCTGTCGCTCAATGTTACGTAATAAAGCAAAGACTGCTCGAAGGACTGGGCGATGTTTGTCAAAACTCCGACCAATGCTGTCAGTCCGTCGGCGGCGAACAATTGCGTTAAGGCATTTCTGTGTTTTAGCTCGATGTACGGCTCCATTGGATCGATATCGTCATTTGATGGGAAAACGAGATAATGAAGTATACGGCAGGCTGTCGTCAATTCTCCTAGAATTTTAGAATTTCAATTTTCAATGATATATAATTATGTTTAATAAGCGACGAACTTACTACGAGTCTTAACGAGCTAATTTCTTGAGTCACGTCAATTGGCAATATCATTGGCCAATTGAATTCACGAATAAAATGACACAAAATGCAACGACATTTTTTAAAATTTTCCATTATAATATAATAATCACGACGTTATTTATTATAAAATTCATATCACTTAATCACTTAATACCTGGAAATGCATTCTTTCGGACAATGCTAACGAGCGACGTAACATCGCCGTAATTCCAATTGGAGATCTGGGCTGCGACGTTCAAATGTGGAACGACGTCGCGCAATACCGAATGGCTCGCGCATTTCTCCAACAGATGAACCGCCCGATTTTGAAAGATTTCAACCTCGCTGGAGTAGCACACGACCGTCGCTATTATTTCGGCTGCGAATTCGGCGAGATCGTTATTAGAAAGACAGGGGATAAGAATGTCGATGAATTTGTCCATTGGTACAACCCTTATTATAGCCTGGATACCGTCCGGAAATATGAGAAAGGAGTGCAATTTTCTAAGCCAAGCCCAATCGTCGGGTTGATGAACCATCGCGATTAAACACTGGACAACTTGTAAGCTCCAGGCAATGGTACATCCAATTCCATCCTTCTTATATTGAAGAACTTTCAATAATGATCTGGTAACTTGGGCTTCCTTCAATAAATACAGAAGTCCTTCCTTGGTATTGGCAATTAATGATATCAGCTCCCGGCTTGCTTTTATCAGATTGCTATTGGAGTTTGGGGAGCATAGGAGCAGAAGCAAACGACTGGCGAGCTTCCAATGCTCGAAATAAGCGATCAAGTGCTTCCGAGGATTGCGATTTTGTTCTCTCTCGAACTCCATTTGCGCGCTGGCGGGTAGCTGACGCTTCGGCTGGCACATCAACGTCGTCGCGCAAGCATACGCCTTTGTCAGCTCTAAAATTTCCAATTCGCTAAGATCCTTCGGCTCCGCAAGCAGCTCGTAAACGTGAACTTTTCTCAACAAAGAGCAAAGGGCATACTTAAGTCTCGCTAATTTCGCAGATTCGAGCATCATCAATGTTATCTTGTACAGCTCGCTATCGACTTTGGAAAATTCCTCGACGATTTTTGGACTGATTAAGGCAGCGTCTACTGCTCTGATAGCTGCGAGTTTCACGGGTAGAGCGACGTTTTCTCGCGTGCACAATGTCAAAAGCCTCTTGGGCGCGTTAACCTGTAAAAGAATATCCGGACCCACCGACAGACGGCACAGAGCCTCGGCTAATCTCACGCCAACTTTCACGTGTCGGACTTTGTATGCTGGCTGTGGCTGTGAGCACGCGAGCTCCACATTGAGTCCTGTGTCGATTATGTTTGACAAATTTTTTACGTCCTTGGCATTGAGCTCGACGTTGTCAAGTGTCGCGCAAAGATTTTCAGAATTGTGAACGAATGTTTCTTTCTCTTGGCCAGAGGCATTGGTAAAATTCATAACTGATTTCGATAATGGAACGATTAGGTCGCGCAACTTCTCATCCAACCTCTCCTGTAGCTTATCCTTGAAAAATTCTTCCTTCTTTTCCAATTGCAAGAGCTCGGGTGGAGCGAATGCATATAATTCGTCCATTTGAATGGCTTCGCATTCATAGTCAATGGCTGAAGGTTCATCATCCGCCATTACATCCTCGTCGGATAAAATTGGCTCGAATGGCTCTATCGCGCCTGGTTCTTCCACTTCCTCTCGCTCACCATCTTCTTCTTCGGCTGAAATAGACTCGGGGCTTAGCGATACAAGAGACTCTGTAGGCGGAGTTGAAGGTCTCTTTCCTGTTTTGTGTGTAACGGGCGACGTTTTCTCTTTCCATGGTGCGACCTCTGGTTTTGTGGATTCGGCTAACGGAGTCCTTGGAGGCTCGCTAACCGGTGCCACGTGCACCGGTGGAGATGGTGCGGCTATTGGGCAGCTTTCCTGCTGCAACAATTCGTTAAAAATATTAAAAGCATCAAATTTTCACGCTGGGAGAATTATCTCTTAAAATATTTAAATCACAGAATGTCATTATCGTTATAGTGATGCTATAATATCGTGGTGGTACAGTCGATGCTGTTAATATAATTTAATAAAAGCGTAGTTAGTTGTGATATTGTGATATCGTGCCTCTATTCATGAATATTTTAATGCTCCTATGTTAATACAATGGGGCTAGAAGGAGCATATCGATTAAATTAAATTTACACGCTTATTCGTTACTTACCAGGGTATTAGCGTGACTCTGATTTTCATAATACCAGTCTTGTTCTTGCTCCGGTACTTGAACATTATTTACAGGTACCTCCTCTTCTGGAATATTAACAGCGGCTGGAGGAGCAGCCGCAGATCCTGGAATTTCTTGCGGATTACTTAGAGATTTTGTTAATGTGCCATAGACGGCCAATGTTATTGTTGTGTACCACCCACGTAAGACTAAACCATCTGTTGGCAAATGCTTTCTATCGCATTCCAATTGAATGTGAACATTTTGTTTGTACTCTAAACCGCCAAGAGATTCAAATGTTGAAGCACCCGGCTTACTCAAGTCATTAACAAAAAATTCAATTTCAAATTGCGACGGATTGGTTGCTCTAAACGATGATATTATATTTCTTAATAAAAAAGGCTTTAAATTTTGTAATTGCTGATAGATAGGAACAAGTGATACATACCCTAGACGAACACCACCGGGAAAGTCAGCTTGCACTCTAGCTCCTAGTGGAATAATTCTCACTTCGCTAATATATACAGGCTTGGGAAATTGTACTAAATCTAAATTTAATTCCTAAAAAAGTATCGTTTCATTTACAGAGTTATGCATATACACACACACACACACACACACATATATATATATATATTTATATATTTATATGAAGCATTTAATTAAATTTTGAAAAAAAATTTTAATGAAATTTTACATTAGCAGAGCTAATTCTTACTTCCGAAATATCGTGAGAAAATGTGTCGAAAAACAGTAATTCTGTATTATCCATGTTTTAATGTCGGTATAAAATAAAAACAGTGCAACTTTAAAATTCACATATTAGCACTGTTATTATAAAAAGTGGCATAAGACGTTAAATACACTATTCATTAAACAGAATTGATTAAACAATGGCGTGCGTGCCGCTATTAGGAAAAGGTTAGTTTGCTAAAAAGTATGGTTAGTTCATATTTATTATAAATGTGTCGTCTGCAACGGAATGCGCCGAATTAACCTTTTGCACTAAGAGTTATTCATGAAGTGTAAGTGTAATAATAACTGGCAGTAAGTTATTCCTGCTAGTTATCGAGTAAATTAAAAAAAAAAAAAAAAAATGGAAACGATCAGTAACAGTAAACCATGCCGCACTTGTACAGATTTTACAACTTGGGTTAAATTACAGAAAAAAACATTTGATTCAGAACAAGTAAATTTAATGTTATTATAAACTACTAGAATATGATAATAATAACGATCGTACTAAATTGGTAATAATTTTTATTTGACAGACTGCAGATACAGTCAAGCATGAGATAACCAGCACAATCAATAATGAAACAACTGGAAGTGCACAAAAAAATTGCCCGCTAGACAAGGATGAATTGGGTCTAAGTACATGGAATTTCTTACACACAATGGCAGCGTATTATCCAAGTACTCCGACAGTCGAACAGAAAAATGATATGAAGCTATTTTTTCATTTACTAGCAAAATTTTATCCTTGCACGAGTTGTGCCAAAGATCTCATGGAACAATTGAAAACATCGTCTCCAGAAACTGACTCTCAATATAAATTGAGTCAATGGCTGTGTAGAATGCATAACGAAGTTAATAAGAAGTTGGGTAAACCTGAATTCAATTGTAAACTAGTAGATGAAAGGTGGCTAAGTGGTTGGGCTGATGGTTCCTGTGATTAATTTAATGTTAAATAGTATTGATAAAATGTTAAAAATATTATTAAAAAATCTTTATGTATAAACAAACAAATAGTATTGTACATATGTTTATAATGCATACGTGCGTACGTACGTACGTACGTACATACATACATACATACATATATAAATACATACATACATACATACATATATGCACATATATATTTATCTTTATAAATTGTTGCCACATTTAAGAAGCATCTAAATTACATCATACCGCGTACGAATGTATACAAGATTCTTTTTTTGCGTACAAATAAATTTTACGATTAAGTTATAGTAGACACTGTACGTGTAGAGTGTGAGAGATTAAAAAGTGTTGTAGGAGTTTGCGAATGAAGCTCGTAACTGTGTCCTTGACCGTCACCACCTATTGGAACTACTTGAAAAGTTCTAATGTGAAATGGAAAATTATTATTGACCGAGGTTGGTCGTGTTACGTACAAAAAAGTTGCATGTCCAATAAATATTACCCAAAGTGAACTACCTTTGACAATACTTTCTCTTATCCACTTATCGGTCAAAAACGTTATAGTCAAAACCTAAAATAATAAATGCATAAAAATGACATAGTATTTTATTTTTCGTTAATGAATCAATGTTATTATAATAGTAAGTGCGTACCACAAATGGTTGACAAAGAAACCAACTGGATCCAAGCGATAATAATGATCCATAAAAAGGAAATTTAGATATGGCATTTTTACTCGTCTTATAGCAAGATATAACAAAGACTACCCAGGCCCAAATTTTCAAGGCCAATAGACCGTATCCAGGTGGTGATTCGTACATATACAATACTAGTCCAGGATCAAATTTTTCTGATTCATATATAAATAGCAATAATTGCAAACTTATGGTTAAAGTAACGAAAGCACTTAGTCTCCAAATTTCCATTGCAGTTAAAATGCTTTTTGTCACGGTAAAGCCAAGTGACATCAATAACAAAAGTGTTGTGAATGCTGTTTCTGAACATGCCTCAAACATATTTCCAAGCAAAAAGATTCCCGTAAAATCAAATCCCTTTAAGGCTCTATATACGTAGCTAAAAATTTCGCATACCAGCCCGCATAACTGAGCTACCAATGATAGCATAAATAATTTGTATGTCACATGTAAAAGTCTTCTAGTGCGCAATTTTAATGCGATATAAATACTAAAGCATATAAGTAAAATATAAATAAAACTTGCAACTATTAACTCGGGCAATATATCTGCAAATAATAAAATACGAGCGATTAATTTACCGACCGTTTTTGTTTTTTGTTTTTTGTGGGACCTACGACAAAAAACCAACTACGATATTTCAATGAATAAATTACAAAATTCGTCGGCTGAAAAGTGCTCTCTCCAGAAACTGCCGGCTTCCGCATTTGTCAAAGATATCCAATATGTTATGTTTAGTCCGCTTTTGGACTGGCAATTCGATAAAGCTATAAACCACCATCGTGGTCTGGACGAACGGAATTCTCTGTGGTTCGTGCATCGAATTTCATTTTTCTCTTCGCCGATGAAGGAACATCCAGAAATGTCTGTGTAGCTCGAATAAGGCGACAGCGAAATAATTTGTCCGAGATCTCTTCTAAGTACCAATTCTCGTTCCACACAAGTCTTGTTGGATGGATATACATTTGGCCACTGTGTTGCACTATCGTAGTACAATAATAAATTAGTTTCCGTATTATTGCTGCTAATGATAAAATCATATTGAAACTTTCCCTTTTCCGAGAGGAAACAGAATCTCGCTAAAAACGCCCAATTCTGAAATAAATACGATAATATTCAATCAATTTTTATTAATGCCAAATCAAAATGATTTTATTATATTAAGGCCTGTTGATAAAATATATCACGATTATTCCAAATAGCTTGCAATTAAAATTATTAATTGTCGTAATTAGATTTAATGCTGGCCGAATGCCGTTTGCTACTACTGCCGAGTAACAAGAGCAAAACTTTATCAAATAATATTTATAAATTATTACTTGATTCGTTATCAGCTGTCCCGTCAATATTCTGGCATCAAATTGATTAAATAACAAATTTATAAGTAATGCAATTACGTAAGCATTATGCATAGCTGAATTTTACTCTTAAAAGTCTTTGGCTTTATTATGAGATACATGACTACATAAATATAAATTGTGTACTATCGTGGCTTATAACGCGCGATTTATGATTCTCACTTATGTTAGTCGGATCGATATTTTTCCTCGTTGAGCACCGCCGCCACACGACTATATCTATTTAAATGAGGTTGATTATTGACTTTTAACTATTTTCAACGGATTTCCCTCCGAAAGCTTAAATAAAAGTCCAACTGCACGCTCCAACATTTAAGCGCATCGCCTAGATATTAAATTGCTGAATTTTTCAAAATTATCAAAACGCTTGTTAAATTTTTGTCAAAATGATGACAAGTGATTATTACATTTAATGAACTTTTTTTCTTTAAGTTCGAATCTTTCAATTTTTCCATACTTTCTAAACAAATGACGCGCGATAATGAGAGAAATCCTTTTATTTACGTTATATTATTATTTTCTTTCGGTTCAAAGTACCCGTTTTATTATTTTGTGTATAACGCGCTTTGCGTGGATATAAATTAAAAAAAAGTTCATCGACAGAAGTGTATAATGAAGTCGGTAATATAGAAGGTGAAATTTATGGATCTGTTATACACCTTCGTATCTTACACATTTAAATAAATAAATAAGCAAGCGTAGTTGAAAAAATTATGGGTATCTGTAAATTAATATTCTGGATGAAGCCATAAAATAAATTATCGTTGTATTTTAGTTTTTTCATCTGTCACCGATTAGGTTTTTCAAATAAATTTATACGAATCCGTTTATTAAGAAATTTTTATTTAATCTAATATACAACACCAAATGATTATACATCCAATATCATTAAACTATTAAACTACCTTTATTATCTTGCTCTGTTTATTTATTTTTTAACTATGATTTTTACAGTTTTGGTTGGAAGAATTTACGACGTAAGCCAATTTTTTGGATTGTTAATCGTAATAGTATCGATTTCTTCCTTCGTAAAGCCTTTGATTAACATTTTTGGAAGGACGTTATTTATTATATGAGCATAACCATGACCACCAAAATTCATCTACAAAACGTTAAATTACAAAAGGTTATTTCTCTTTATTTCATTTAATTTTCTTTCTTTTTTCTTTTCTTTTATTTGTTTTTTGTTTTTTGTTTTGTTTTTGTTTGTTTATTGCATGTAAAAGCTATGATAATGATTTTTAATGCAGACCAAACGATGTTTCGTATGAATGTCGTGACTCATTAAAATTTTCTCCAATCTCCCATCCTCTTTCAAAATTCGCATTTTGTCTATACGTTGGGCATCCGATGGCATGTCCATTTTAGTGTCCAATTGATAATACGAGCACTCGATTCCAAAAAGATCGTATTGACAATACGAGCCCAGTTCGGCAAAAGTTAGGAGCTCGTCATCCCTCGCGAACGTCCCTTTCGAAAGATCGAAAAGATTATAATTTTAAAAAAATTACAATTTATGAGAACAATGTCGCGCGTTACATTGAAATTAAAGCGCTAAGCCAACTTACGGTCTAGATGTGACATTATTGCTTTCTTCGCATCACCTCCGGCTTCCATATATATTCTTAAGATTTCAAATGGAGCATTAACATCTCTCCCAGGATGGAAGCTCACGGAACAGTTAAGTTGCTCTTGCACGTGTGCTGCAGCTCGAATAGCCCTTTTTTCGAAATCTATAAAATAATAATAATGCCCGTGAATAATTTTACCCAAGCATACATCAAGATTGACCTTTTCTTTCTTTCTTTCTTTCTTTTCATTTATGATATTATAGCGTAGTCACGGCGAATGTTTCAATAAAATTACAGCCTTTGTCCGGTAAAATTCTTTCATTAATGACAGAAGGCGCGATAGAAATTTCATATATCATTAATCAAGTTTCTACCAAGTTTCAAGTACATATTGTACAATAGCTCGAAAGTTATTAAACGCACGTTTAAAGTACGTATTCAATTGAATAAAGTTTCAAATAGGTGTCGATAAATTTAGACGCTTATCAGTTAGAAAAATTAATTTTATCAAATCATATTTTAGTATTATCTTATATCGCTAGTCAATAAAAATGATTAAATTATTACATTGTACATTCGATAATTAATGCGTGTACAATCGCTCTTGTAGCCACGGTATACGTAACATATGCACAGAGCTTCGGTAAATTTTTCAGAAAAGAATATTTATTACCTGCTATGGGCCACGTACTACCAACTTCACCAATGAATCCGGCTTTTACGGATGGACAATCGTAACAACCCACGGTTAATTCATTAGTTATTAAATTAAACATTTCTTCCTCCGATTTCCTCATAGCGGAGTCGGATTGAGTTGAAGCTACATAGTGGCCTAAATGGTCATTGAAATTGTTTTTATCTTTCATTATATTATTATAAGAATTAATCATTAATTGTATGAATTAATAAGTTGAAATGTTATGAATATTTATAATTTTATACGTCGTATTTTTCCGTTTGCGTATACGTCTCCTTATAATCGAATAAATTTCAATAAAAATGTTTTTTCTTTTTTTTTTTTTTAACGAACACGATAGCGGCAGCATAAAATCGTTGCCCATTTTGAATCTATGATCTATTCGAAAGAAAATTTTCATTAAATTTATAAAAAGTTTTTCAAACAGTATATATATATATATATATATATATATATATATATATATATATATATATATAAATCCACACTATCATGAATTACACGCACATATGTATAATTACATTTTTTTTTTTTTTTTTTTTTTTTTTTTTAAATAATTTTCTGTGTTTCTCATAGAGTGGCGGGGATGGGCGAGGGGAAGGAAAGCGAAAGATACATAATGGGATGAACAACCTGTGCCAACGATAACATGAACGCCACTTTCGTGGCTTGTTTTTTTCATTAATTGAATATTTCGCTTAATTCCATGGCTTGTATTTTCGACAATCGTACCACCACCACTTGCTTTGTAAAATTTTACATCCTCCAAAACCGCATTGGCACTGTCAATATCGTCAAAGTGAATATTGTATTTATTGCTATAACTATAAAAATAAAGTTTTTTAATTTAAAACAGCTGTAAGAATTCCTTCATTCGCAATGAAGGTTGTATATTAGAACTATCAATAGGTTATATAGACTGTGTATAAATAAATTAAACAAAAACAATAGAAACAAAAATTAAATTAAATTAAATCGATTGATTTAATAAGCGAAGGATAAATGTTTTTTAAGGCACTTTTTTTTTAATGTATTTATTGCTTTTCTTTACGAAATCCGCACCTGCAATATGCCCAAACATCTATATAATTAACATGCTAGAATATAGTGTACTTACGGATATTGCTTAATTATGCCAATATTTTGTAGATCAATGATATCGCTTGTAAATTTTTGTAAAATTTCCGGTGGTGGTACATAAAATGCATCGAAATCAAGAGCCAAATGTTCATGAGTTAGAACACGTCCAAGCTTGTTAGAATCAACTGGCCCCAAAACTAAATAAAATAATTACTTTTATCGGCTATATATTTAATTTAATTGTTACACATTGCTACAGCTTTTATTATAATGGAAAGCAATTAGTGAAAGTGATAGTGCCGAATATCGCTTACCGGTTTCAACGTATTTGTTACTCATCTTACTTGCTCGTTGCATCACTTGTGTAAAAGCAATTAGCCTACACCACCAGCACTTGATTTAATAAAATTTTCCTACGAGATAAATAAATTTGTCACTGGCTCGTTATTATCACAAACTCACGCGCGCGCGCGCGCGCGCGCACACACACACACACACAAACAAACAAAACACACATATGTATGTGCGTGCATATATGCATATATAAAGAAAGAAGACATTAGTTACTTACTTTACCTACCTACTTTCTTTACTTTTAATGTAAATCTAATAAATGACAATCCTACGAGTATTTCATTGACATATCTTTTATTATCACTAATGTATAAGTATAACAGTTGTAAATATATTATGTAATTAAAAATTAAATTTTTATAAAATTCAAGTTTTTAAACATTTTTTAAAAATATAATCATTAAATGTACAAATATATTACGGTAAATAAAAAAAAATAGAAAAAAAAAAAAATTAAAATTGTTTTGAATATTCATATTTTAATTTTATATTATAAATACCTATCTATCTATATATATATATATATATATATATATATATATATATATGCCATTTTCCTAAATATTTCAAAAATTATTGCCTAAGTATCATAATAATTAATTTTAATACTATTTTGTAAAAGTTATTTTAAACAACAAATTCGATTATGGTTTTATATGATATATATTTATATCACATGTTTTATTTTACATATACAGGTATAAGACCTCTTTACAAGAATAAATCGCAATGTTATTTGAGAATTGTTGTAGAATTCAAATGGAACAAGATTTACGAAATATCCTCCAACTGGATACAAAGTCGATATTAATATCAGTACTGTTCATTTTTTCTTTCTTTTTCTTTCTTTTTTTCAAAAACAGTAATGCCGTACGTATAAAATAAGTAAGCATTATTTTGATCCTTCGCTACATTACTATTTAATTTTTTTCAAGACTCATTGCACAGCTTTGTAATCCCAGCAAGACCTATTTGTTATTTTTTTTTTTTTTATCTTTTCTTTTAATCCAACGATTTATAAGCAGAACTCCATTAAAAACTTGAAAAAAAAAAATCCATTTTTATACAATAATATTTTGTCACGCGTTTTCCATTAAATTAATGGTAAATGTACTGGAAGCTTCTAATCAATGCAGTTTAATAAAATCTATTCTATATGCATTATAAAAATTACATTTTATAGCTTGTAGAATTGCAATCGATTAAATAAATGTTTTATAATATGAAGATATTACAAGAAAAATCAATTATTTGAATTTATTATTAAGCTGAAAACGCGTGAACTTAATTAAATATAACTTGATTTTAATAAAGAATTGAAACTTTATGCTTGTATATGTGGTTATCAAACAAACAAAAAAAAAAAAAAAAGTAATTATAATAAACAGATATTGTTATTATTTTGTTGAAAATATTTTCAACAAGTTTTAAAAATAGTTTAAAAAATATAGATATAACCGGTTTGTATTTGTGAAACATGACAAAGCTACATTTCTAGAATTCACGTATGTACGAGGAGTCTATGCAAATTGTTTAAATGTACATTCTACAAAAAGCGTATAACAGTTGATTTTGAAAGGAACTAAATATTCTGGTTCCACTTTTTTTTCTCCACAATTACCTTTTCATTTCTTGTTCTGAAATTGTGGATAATGTTTTTCATTTCCATGAATCCCCTCACCATTTAGCATAGTCTACTAAATTTCGTCGATTTTGCAAATTTTTTAGAGGAAAATTATTTTATCGTCTTTATCGGCTAGTCTCTTAAACGAGATTTGCCATGCAACTTGCAATTATTTATCGAGTATAACACATATTCAATATAAACTAATCTAGATTAGCAATAATAATAATAATAATAATAATAATAATAATAATAATAATTAATAATAATAATTAATAATAATAATAATAATTTACATTTACACAAGACTCTGCATTACTCAACCACTTAATTAAAATCCTTACTACTCAACTATTTTTTTGTATTTTTCCTTTTTGCTTTTTAAACGTTAGGATTTTCTTTTCCTAACGCTGGTCGCGGAAACGAGTAAATTAATGACAAAAAAAAAACAAAAACAAAAAAAAACAAAAAAAAAAAAATAATAATAAAGTTATTTAATCGGATGTTAATTCCGTGCCACTAATTTCAATTGAACAAGGCATGGTACGGTAATTTAATATCTCTACTAAGCGCGTAGAATTGCCGTCCAATATTCAATTAACATACTAATAATTTCTATTTAATAAGTCCAAATTTTGTTTCATTGTCGTTTCACACACTCTAGTACGGCGGGTCATCACAAATTAAAATGGCGCATATGATAGTATCACTCAACAGTTTTAGAGTTTTGAACAGTTCGAAGCTTCATAAACTGTCATCGCTATCATCCGCGTGAGCGTCGACTGTCATATTGCCAGCAATACCACTGCCTTCGGCACTTGCTTCGCCACTTGCCTCCCCTTCTTGCTCTGTTGAACTATTGTGCGTTGGCTCATCTGTCATTTAAGATATTTATTATAGTGAGCATTTTGTTTAAAAGACATAAATGCCAATAGATGTTTCGTATTTAAGATATTATTGAAGATTTTTGTATGTAAAAAAAAAAAACAAAAAAAAGAAAGAAAATTCTTTAAAATTAGAAAGTATCAGTAATTTTTTAATAATTTAATATTCCCTTCGCTCATTGCATTTGAGAAAATATTATGAGCTATGAGGATTAAGTAAAATTTAAACAAATTGCAGAATAAATGATTGATATTTACCTGATTGTGTTACAAGAGATTCATCTTCGCCTTGTCCAGGGCTGAGAATAGCTTCCTTGATTTGACTATTAACACCTTTAGGATCCAAATCTGTCGCCCAACTAAAGTACATCAATGCAAGGTGGGTATTTCCTAATTTTTTATGAATCTATAAGAACAAATCTTATTACATTGATTTGATAAAATAAGTGTATGTATATTAGGTTAGAATTTTTACAAACTGTGCATCTTACTTTTCCTATAGAATAATAGACTAGTGGCTCTTTGGGTACAATATTTTTCAGTTCTTCAAACTCATTGAGAGCTTCTGTATTTCTACCAATAGAGAAATTAATACTCGCACGATGAAACTTGCACAACGTATTGTCAGGATCATCTTCGATTGCCTTGTTTAATGTCTTTAGAGCTTGATCAACTTTTTTTAAGGCATGTTGAACAACGCCTATGTGGCACATTATCGCGGAATTATGAGGATTTATTTGTAATGCCCTTTTAAAATGTAATTCTGCTAAACTATACTGCTCTTGTTTTGAAAAAATAGTGCCTAGCCCAAACCTATAAAAGCAATAACTATTGTAAAAAAAAATTATCCCAATGAATCTTATTCGTTTAGCATTAAGAACATACCAGGCATTATAATGTCTAGGATCAAGTCTAATAGCATTTCTAAAAGCTGTAATAGCTTTGTCCAATTCTTCGGTAATTACATATTCATGACCAAGAAGCGTATATGCATATGGAAAACTAGGATTCACCTAATTAAAATGTATAAAAATGATTGACAACATATTTATTTTTCGTTTTATAAATTGTGTTTAGCAATCTGTGATAAAGATCTATATAAAAATTTTGAAAAGGCAAACTCACTTGAATAGCCCTTTGAAAGAATTTAATAGCAGTCTCGTGTTCGGTTTGAGCAGAAAACAAATTACCAGTTGCACACCACGCAGCTGGGGAATTTCGATTTTCAGCTACAAGATCTTGAGCTAAAGTCGAAAGTTGTACTTCTGCGTGTAAATGCCACAATACAGTACTATAAATTTCCATTAACTCTGTTCGATGAGGCTCTAATGTCCTTACTTGTGCGAAATAACTGTAATAATATAATATTTCAATTGTAATATGTAATTATATCTTATCATCTTATTATTTCTACTACGTAAATTTACGACAAAATTTTACCTTGCTGCTTTTTTATAATCGATCATTTCAAAATGTGCTTTCGCTAGCATTGATAATATCCATCCAGTATTGTAATGATGTCCTGGCAAAATGGTCAATGTTTCAACTGCTTCGATACAATTAAACTGACATAAATTTTGATATGCCATACCGAGCTGCCTTAGCAAGGACATCAAACCTTCTACATTAAAAAAGAAAAAGAAAAAATACTTTCTACACTTAACCCTTTGTATATTCTTGAATTGGAAATTTTTTTTTCGTCTTTAATCGGCAATTAAATTAATTTTAATTAAATAATACCTGCAGAGTGCTTTTGAATTGTTATCGGACTCGCATACATTGTATTACTTTGATTTAAAACATTGGTATTTGCTACAATTTTCTCTGAAGTAATTGTTTCGCTTTTTTCCTTTTCGCTTCTATTTTTTTCATTCAAATCATTGAAACTAGATTTACTAAGATTACTTTTTGACAGTCTTGTTTTGGTTTTACGAGATGGTGATTTTGGAGTTGTAAATTTATTTCGATTCGGAGATTTATTATTTTCCTAAAAGAAAGAAAGAAGATTAATTTTAGGTTTTTAACACGAGTCTTTAACAATCATATAGAAATCTATATGATATACCTTGAACGAAATGTTACATTTAAATAATAATAATAAACGTAATAATTAATTAAAAATTTATAAAATTATAGCGAAATCTATTGCAAAATCTATCATCATAATTTTTATATCATAATTAATACACAAATTATAGAGTAAAATAAAAAGTTTATAAAAAAAATATATTTAACATATTTTTCTATTGAGGATGTTCATATGATAAAGTAGCCATTGTTTATCGTGTCAAATCATAGATTAAAACTTTATACATTTAATTACTTTTTATATTATAATGGATTTATAAAACAATAAATTATATTGACATGCTCATTATATATATATATATATATATATATATATATATATATATATATATTACCCTAATATTATCTACAGCTGCTTCAAAACACAATTATGACTATTTATATCTCTACAATTTATATTTAATAATAATATTGTATGAATTAAAATGGTTATATCACCAATTTATATTTAACAAATATTAGTAACAAAGTATTTTAGTGGAAATAACCTTTGAGGCATTCTAATAGAAATTAAGAATAATTTCTAATAGAAATCAATTAATAAAAAAAAAATTAAGTTTTATTACTTACTTTTACTGAGTAACTGTGACTAAAAAGTCTCGATGATCTCCTTACATTAGGACCTTGAAGCGTTGGCTGAGGAGGTACAGGTGTCGCTGGAGTAACTGTAACAATATTTGCCGTATTACTTGTATTACCGGACTGTGAAAATACTAATTTGCCCTGTTGTAACGGAGTTTCTTTCCTTGACAATAATTGCTGTAAATAAACATAATTCGTAAATAAGTGCACGAGAATTAATTACTTCATATTTGAAAGAAAGATATGTAACCTTACCCCAACATGGGCATTTATACTGCTAACTCGCTTAGCTAAGCTTTTTTGATCATTTGCTTCCGTAAGTGTTGGATGTACGGCTAAAATAGGAGGTTCGGGAGTATTTATGTCTAAAGGTAAGATTCCAAAACTTGGTGTCAAAGGACTCATTGAATTACTAAACAAACTTCGATAACGAGGTAGTTTTCCACGAGGGGACATGGTCGAACAAGTATTAAAATGGCTTGATAAATTTTGTGGACTTTCTTCAATTGACGAATGAAGTCTGATATTAGAAGTTAAACCATTCGTTCCTTGCATAGGGGTCCTTGAACAATATTTAACATTATTATTTATGCATTTCCAAAATTTGAATAAACAACAAATATTATTTAATATTATTTAATATTTAATATTTAATAATTCATGATTATGAAAATTAGATTAAATTTCTAAAATGATGTAATGGACGTTTGAATTAGCCAATAATTCTCTTTCAATATATTAAATAGCACTAAATGATAAATAGCATAAATAACATTTTGAATTCCTTTTAGGAGAGATAGGTTAATTTTACTTGCTAATGGTATATATTATAATATTTAACTTACATGTTATTGCAATTATTAGGTGCTGGAGTATTTGGGGCATTGTTATTAGATCCAATGAGATCTGAATCTTGCACACAATAAGAAATTGGTGTACTGCCAATACACGTAGATAAGCTATCTAATTTATCCAATTGAAATATTTTATTTGCATCAATTTTTTCACCCGTATTACACAATTCTTCGAAAGAATGCCATAAAAAAGGATTTAGCTTTAAAGCCAGCTTGTGAGCATCGTTTCCTTTAACCGTCCGTGTCATTTGATAATATATTTTGGCTATTATTTGAAGGGAGAAACAAGCTTGATCCCCAAATTGATTGACAATTTCTTCAAAATTCTTTAATTGCTTATAATAGCCACCCACTATAGCTGCTTCCGCTTCTGCATATTTTTCTAAATCGTAACAACACTTTGCCAAAAGAAATCTACACTGTGGAGAATTTAACGATCGCTTTGAAAGTAATGCCTCTGCTTGTCTGATGCGACCGGAGCGATAATAGCAAGTAGAAAGTAGAAATAACGTTTCTTCATTGTCCACTGAAAATTGTAGTAAACAATATGATAAATTGTCCATTGCTTTATTATTAATTAATATCTATAAAAAATGCTCAACTTGCCTTCAGCAAATAATCGTTCAGCGAGGAATATCGCATCTGGGTAAGCATAATGATTTAAGCAGTGCCATATAGCTGCCTAAAAGTAAATTTATTATTCATTTAATGTTTGCTCATGTGTTTTACTTAATATACGCAATCGACGTATGACGCATTTGTTTTTATTCTCGTATAAATAACGCCAAGTCAAATGGTTTCAGTGCTTCAAGAAACACCAGCACAAAATACGATTAACTATCCCTAATGACGTTTAAAAGCCTTTTACTGGGCTCATTTAACGCCGGCTTTCGTTAAAATAAAATCACAGCCTTTGTAAATGGTATATAAATGTACGGCCAAAAACCGAATGCAATAAGTCGTGAAATTATCGTCGAGATCGGAATATTTTCTGTGATTATCATAGCACGAAAAGATTTTTTTATAATCTCAATACCTAGTCATTTGGCAGGGGAAAAAATTTTTTAATGAAAGGGCCGAAAGCAAATTTAGTGAACATTATGATATAGAAATAGAGAGAAAGTCAAGTATCGACTTTCGTAGCAATTAATATCGGCGAGATGTCAATATATTCGCGAGAAGATGCATCAAGGAGAGGCTGTGGAGCTCTTGCTCTCGTGTACGTCACACACTCGAACTTATTGGCTAAAAAATATCGGCTATTTACCTGCACTGGCTCCTGCACGATCATCTTTAGCCGCTCGCAAGGTCGCATACGTTGACGAAATAATTCAGAAGGACCTCCGCGATGCTCGAAAGCTTCGAATTTCGGACTTTGATAACTGCCGTTTTTATCGTAAAAGTTTCTCAAGAATCCATCTTTGCTCTCCTCCGTCTCTTTTAAAGTGAATGACTAACTTTGCGTGACAGTGCGCACAACATTGCGCCGTAAATTCTTTCTCGACCCAACAACTTGCTCAATCGATTCTTGCTAAATACCAGCGTTATTTAATCGAAATTATCATAGGAAATAAGAATATTTGACGATAAATAAATATCATTTGTTGCTGAGGGAAAAATCCGTTTGGCAGGTGCTTGAGCAAATATGTAACTTGAAATATCTCCTCAAGGGTAACAACTGCAGACTTACGCCTCACTTAAGAGTTATGAGAGAGAAAGTTTGTTTTGATTTCGTTTTTGCACAAAAACGTATTTAATTTTATTAATAATAAAAATTATTAGATGGCTGCAAATGAAATAAAACAGTCATTAAGAAAGTTGGAATTTCCGTTTTGTGCTAGGGAAGCGCTATGTCGAATAGGTTTGCTCATTTTATTAGCATAAAGTTTTATTTGTATTACATTCAACTTTATAATAAGCATAACTAGTATTGTAATTTTTAGAAATGTTATGCGGAAGATCCGGGAAGCAAATGGATTTACAAATGGATTTGATGTCAGAATTTGTTTTCGGAGAAATAGAGAGACGGAAAAATCGTAATGTCCCGGTTGCTATTCAGGAATTACAGTTAATTGAAATTCTCAGTGATTTTTTTGAAAGTCCTGGCGGAAGCGTTGCTGTGAGAAATGCAGTATTCTTATCGCTCTATCCAGCCGAGACACAGAGGCATAAGATTTTAGGGAATTTAGTCTCCTTATCCATAGCAACTCAGAATAAGGCCGTTTTAAATGCCGCTGGTATTTGGATGCAACAATTAGGTTCAACGTCCTTACAAAGCGTTGGCCTAGCAAGGCATATATTAAACGACTATTTCGTTCTGATTCCTAACTCAATCGATAGACTCAAGCAACTTCCAAATCTTGTACCACATTTCACAGCTAATTTATTAACGGCAATTGGCGAGGTGTACAAAGATAAAAATCCTCCAATAGAATTATTAAAACTAATTGGTAATTGGATTAATGATAATCCAAGTTTATTATTGACATCCTTAATGGATAATCCTGCCCTACCTACTGGAGGCATACCCATGACTCCAATCACACCGATAGCAGGACTTTTTAGGTTTGCTTTTTCCCTTAATGCATTATTTTGCAAAAATTCTCCATTCCCTTCCATAATAATTTCAAAATTGATCATTTTTTATTTATTCATATTTTCTCGCAGGTGGTCTATTTTAAGCCCGTTACGAGCGTCGACAGAGACCGCAGATCAGGAAGAACAGCAAAAGTGTTACTCTAAAATACAACAGTTGTTAATGGACTCGGTTTTACGGCTAAAAAGTAGCGGGAGTAATAAGCATGCAATTTCTGCCCAACACCTAGCAGCCATGACCCGTGCCCTCACCGCAATTTTACACAATAATAACGAATTAGATAATTCGTCGAGGGATCTTGCTATGGAGAGACTTGCCCAAGCGGTCAGCGCAGCAATGTCTGCTAATTGTATATATGGAAATAAACGTACGTATCTTATATTGATTTTATCTTTTCTTTCAAATTTATTTATCTTACAAATTTAGTGATAAATTATATTATATTATAGAGGAACTACTCGCTCTTCTCCAACCATTATCTTATCAACATTTCTTGATTGAATGGACATTACAGACATACGCATCAAAAGCTGCTTAAAAATAAATTTATTTACAATTGGTAAATATTACTGTACAAAAACAAATTATCATTTATAAAAGAAAAAAAAAAAAATTTAAAGATATAAATTTTCGATAATTGACCAAATAATACAGTATCTTATTTTTATAAACATTTAAAATGGTTTAAATTTTCGTACTGTCTTTATTTGCTCTAATTTTTTCTTATCAAGTTCAAATTTCTTGCGCAATTCTGCCAAATCTGAAAGAAATAAATTAAGCAATTATAACTGTTTTCTCCATTATCTATATATATTATTATACATAATACGTACTTTGCTTCTTTGCCTCCCTAATCTGGAAAGTATAAAAGTTTAATAATTGCTTCTTGTGCTTCTTTTCTTCCTCTTTATATTGGACTTTTTGTATCGTGGATTCTTTTCGAGCCGGTGCATATTGACCTCTTTTCTTTTTGCCCGTAATAGTAGTCCAGCCATCGTTATCCACTGTCTCTTGAATCATTTTCTCGTCTCTCAGGTCTTTTTCTACCTTTTTATCATACTCGTTCATATAATTGTCAATTAATTTCTTAATTTCACTTTCACCCATTATGGACTCATTATAATTCTTACACCATTCTATAAAGAATAATTTAATATTACTATATATACGATCAAGATTAGATTTTTATGAAAATTACTTTACTTGCAATTCCTGTTAATATTGGTGTACTGCTTGTATTTAATGTTAATGTATGCCTTTCGTTAAGAGACAGGGCTTTTTGGAGTCCCAATTCTCTTGCAAATACTATATATCCATTCTTAAATCCTAAGTCTACATTATTTGCATTCTTAACAAAAGTTACAGATTTAATCGGGCCACATGATTCTGTAAATGCATTTTTTATGGAGTCGACGTCCGCATAAGGTGGTATGTTTAATACAAAAAGCGTCTGCCCCCTTGGATATTCTGGCTCTTGTTTTTTCACCGAATGCTCTTTGATAAATAATTGATGCCTATCCGAATTCGTTGCGTCAAATCGAATCCATATAGCTACAATTTGCAATATTAATTAATTTTAAACAGACAGCGATTAACCTCAAATAGTATAGAAGGGTCAGTGTCATAAAATAAATGTAGATTTTCAAATAAAATATTATAAATGTGTATTACTGTTAAAATTTCCGATTTTCTTCTTATCCACGTTCATTTTCATGACTCTATCAATATCTTTAATTGACCTATATCACAGGTTTTACTATTGTAATGTTTATCAACGTGCGTGCTGGGTTGACTTTCTCTCTCTCTCTCTCTCTCTCTCTCTCTCTCTCTCTCTCTCTCTCTTACACGATGACTGGTTTGAATACCAGCACGGTGGGGCTTTATTAGCCATAGATGTATTGATTCGTTTAGGCAATAGTTTTATAATCAACCTGGATCCTTAAATTATCCACGATAAGTTTTTTTAAAAACTGCAAATTTAAGTTTCAAAATTTTATAGCAACACTATGCGTTTCAAATTTTTGGAAAAGAATAGCTTACTTACATTAAAAGGCGCCACGATAATTTCGTATTATTACCATCCAAGACCAGGTTTTTATAAAAAATTTTTCTCTAATTTGTTTTTTCATTACTTATTACGTAGCATCATTTGCTTACAAATGATAAATTATTTAGACATTTGCAGGGCTTATTGAGTAGTTTTTCGTCGCGAGATCCGACACAAACAATAAATGGCCTATTATCTCCCTTAATTCAGGAATTCATTGATTGTTCATTAATGGTTCTATTAAAACTGCTAGAATTACGATAAAAATTAAATCGGAGATTTCTAAATAATAGCTCTTAAAGTCTTTGCCATGATCTTTTATAGATTAGCAGGCGAACATCGTACTTTAAAGGGTGGGATGAAGGGTTTTTGAAGATCATTAATTATTCGTACGTCGTCGAAAACGCGATCCCAATGCACAAGAGTAAGCATTAATCGTTATAAAAATCGTCTTTTATATAGCCAAAGTCCATGATTATCCATTTTACAAAATATTGCCAAAATTTTTCATTTTGTGTGACTTTGCCATTCACAAGATTATCACATATAATAATAGATTGAAGATTCATATAATAATACTATTTTCTTCATTACAATTTAAAGATAAATGTTTAATAGCTGTGAATGTAAAATTAAAGAATAAAGGCATCTGTCCCCCATATCGATATTCCAACGTTCCACCAATCGATTCAGTTTTGTTATATTTTAGTTATATTAGGATATTACATAAGCACGTAATATATAAGATACTGAGGAACTAAACACTCGATTTTGCCAATAGATTTCGATTCCTTGTGATATTGGAAGAAAATGCCGTGCTAAAAATCTCAATGCTATAGAGGAAAGAGGAGTAGTTACGTCGATTATACTTAACCGAAAATATTTAATTATCGAAACAGCGCAAAATTAACACCTCTCAAGTCTCTACGTTTTTACCAATGAAATCTATTATAAACGACGAGATTGCTTTCAAAGAAATGTAATTCGTTTGAACATTGAATTTGAACTGTAACAATAAATAGCCCGTAGTATTTATTATACGTTTCATTCGATATTTTCGATATTTTACAAACTCTTATACTGGCAGCATTATTTAAGGCACACCTGCTTATTAAACGTTCGCGTAAATATTTATAAGGACAAGTAGAATGTGTAAGAAACGAATAGTGGCCCACACCCCACCCCTTCCCAATCGACAAACGAGCCTCGTCGAATTTCAAAAGTTCATCATAAGAGCAGCAACGCAGCCGCTCTAACTAACGTCCGTCCGGCTCGGGTAATTTTCCATTCCATGGACGACGGGTGAGGCAGGGGACCGGAACAGCCGCAACGGGCGATTGCATTTACGTCCTCTTTACCTTGGCGCATACCTTAGCTCCTTAGCCAGAGTTTAGGAGAGACGATGAACGGGACTTGGGGATGGCCGGTGGGGAGGACGGAGCAGGGAGTCGTTGAATTCAAACGGGTCGGCGGGGGCGCGGAGCGTCGAGGTAGAATTTGAAATTTTGAAAGGCAGCCCGGTAAGCCGGTATACGGTAAGTAGTACGGTAATGATTTTCAAGCTGTTACACGTCGTTGTTAGGTGCGAGATTTGGCGACTTGGTTGATGGTCGAGAGGAGGGGTTGGTTGCGCGGCTCTCCTCCATAACGGCATGTAGGCTCGAGCACCCGATGACGGTGGCTAGCCGTCAGGTCACGATAGGGACGGCCAACAGCCATCTAATGCCTCGAGGAGTCGCGTTTACGGTCGCGAACCTTACCGTCACCGGCACGGTCACGCGCCGGTCAGGGCACCCGCATATCGAGCGAGAGGAGGAGACGCGGATTTGACATTCGAGAGTTGCCGAGCGTAGCAGCGTCCCCTTTATAAGGTTCCGCGTGGCTGCTGGTGGCGTGGCACCTTAAAGTCCAATATCTCGGGTAGTGTAGTGTAGTGTATAGCGGTCGGTTGGAGAAGGAGAGAGGAGATCCGGGACAGGGCAGCAGCCGTCTCGCTCGTTAGCTTAAGTACGCCGTAGCGGTGTGGCGGTGGAGTTGGCGGTAGGATTTTCGAGTTGGAGTTGCTAGGAGGTGGACTTGGCCGTTGGGAGCTTTTAGTTTAGCTTTTGCATTACGTGGTGCTGGCAGTGCAGTTGGCGTGTAGGTACCCGGACCCGGTTACGCTCGGCCTCACTCGCACTCGCACTTACACTCGCACTCGCACTCGCACTCGCACTCGAGGGTGGCCTCCGGTCTTGTGGCCTTGTTACCGTTAGGACGTGTTACCGAGAGGATTATTCCGATTATTCGCTAAGATGGTCGCGATTAAGGGGAGGAAAAGTTCGAATAAAAATCCGCCGATGCTGAGCCATGAGTTCGTTATTCAAAATCATGCTGATATTGTCTCGTGCGTGGCGATGGTCTTCGTCCTCGGACTGATGGTGCAGGTACGTCTCAACCTTTATAATATTACCATTTTTAAAGTCATCCGCATCTGTAACCCTGATTGTATGTTACTGTTACTATTATTGTTGCTGTAGTCATTGTAATTTTTGTTTTTTGTGTTTGTTCTTTTTTTTTTTGTTTTCTTAATTTTTGCATTCGATTTAATATTAAGAATTTAGTGTGTCTGATCGAGAGAAAGTGTGTTTGTGTGTGTGTGTGTGTGTGTGAGAGAGAGAGAGAAAGTGTGTGTGTGTGTGTGTGTGTGTGTGAAACAGGAGAAATAGAGAGAGAGAGAGAGAGAGAGAGAGAGAGAGAGAACTAAGCGATATAAGCGATATCGTCAAACGATCCATTCCCTGTGGATTTTGTATTTCGGCATTTTGTATTTAATGTAATTGCAGCGTTGTTCGTTAATCATAAACGTTTTATTTTGTAAATAAGACCATTTAGATGCTGCGAATTAATAATCGAATCAAGCCTTTCTTGAACGGTGGCGCATTGAAAGGGGTGGGTAATGCAATCCCAGGTTGCTTCCATATGTTATAATCGGAATCTATTTTAAATCGTAAGATTAGGGCAAATTTCCAATTTGGGTTGAAAGTGTGATTGCCAAAGTCAGTAATTAGCGATTAATTGAAACATTTTGTGAAAATTTTCTTTCATTTAATTTTCTTTCTAATTCATAGGTGACATCTCCGTGGGCTTATACCTTCATCGCTATTCATCACAATGTCTCCTCTTTGATTTCAATCGACGGTACGCTACCGCCACAGCCCACCAAGTACACCACAGGATGGAAGGATCCTTGTGCAATTTTCTTCTACTTTCTCATTACAATTATTATGCATGCCGTCATTCAAGAATATATTTTCGATGTTAGTATTCCTGTGCGGTAACTGTTAAGCTGTAATTACAAATTAATCTTATAGATATTCATTTTATAGAAAATCTCAAAACGTCTTCGTTTGAGCAAAAGCAAACTTTCTAAATTTAACGAATCCAGCCAGCTCGTCGTATTTTATGCTCTCTCTGTTATTTGGGGTATGGACATCGTAATAAGGTAACTTCTCAACCATACAATCGATACATTTATGATTTAATTATTCATCTATTCATTCGCTCATGGTGATGCGCTTTTATTTTAGAGAACATTTTGTCTTTAACGTACCTGCATTATGGATGGACTATCCCGCACCCATGTCATTTTCATTGAAATTATTCTTTATTGGCCAACTAGCCTACTGGTTTCATTGCTATCCAGAACTCTACTTCCAAAGAGCGAAGAAAGAGGAAATTCCTAATAGAGTTTTTCAAGCCACTGTCGGTGTAATATATACACTTGGTGCTTATATTTTAAAGTAAGTTACTTTCGGAGTTTAAGTTCTTTCGGAGTACGCAAACATTGTACGAGAAAAGAAATTTAACGTCTGAAATAAGTCGATGAAAAAAATGTATTAATTTATTGCTTGAAAATTTTTGCAATTGCAGTTTTATTTTATAATGTAACCATAAGCGATACTCTTCGTATAAATATTGAATAAAATTTCAGTCTTTTCTTAAAAAGGCAGTAAAGAATTCTGATAGCCATGCCTTAGAATCATTTCAATCAAAATATTATTGGCATCTTGCGAGAAAATCAGACCATACGGATGGCGAAGCATACCGACACCATTATACTCATATGGATGATATGCCCTATTTATTATATTGTATTGGATAATTTTAAAGCAATAATATTCTTACTAGTCTCTATTTATTATTTGGTGTTGCATTAAACCAACATTAAAAATAGTAATATTAAAATTTATCGCTACAAACAAAAAAGAAAAACGAACAAACAAACAAAAAACTATACATGTTTCTATATATATATATATATATCATCTATTATTTATTAAAAATGTGTATTACAAATTTTTAGCTATCAACATGTTGGTATTATTCTATTAATACTCCATCACGTTGGAGAGGGCTTGTTACATAGCGCAAGATTGATTCACTTTGTTGATCAAAAGGAAAAGGCATCTAAAGGTAGGAAGTTATACATTTAATCGATAATGATTTAAGGGCAAATAATTTCATGAAAAATTTTTCGACTCAAACATTTCTATCCTAATTTTCAGCATCCTTTTACGTAGCCAATTCAATGTTCGTCATTGCTCGAATTCTCACTGTACTTATCTCTGCTCTCGTTTTCGTCTACGGTCTAAATCAAATCGATAGCACACTGAATTGTGCCGAGGGTAACTTCAATATTCCAGCAGTTAGATATTCCGCTCTGGCAGCAGTCTTGGTCCTGCAATTCTACATGCTTTACGTTTTCTTGCAATATCAAAAGAAACGTGCTCGTGAAAACGAAGTATTTGTTGTATCAAAAGTAAAAGTATTGAAGCAAAAGCAAAAAAAGAAAGAAAGTAAGCGTGTTCTTAAATTTTAACTTAAAACATACATAATAGCTTGTTTCTTAATATAACGACTGTTCTTATTACTCAAATAGCGAGCAAAAAGTCTGGTGGATCCGAGGATGATGAACAGCACGATGCAGATCAAAATATTAGGAAAAATCTTAGATCTAGGTCGTCGACGAAAGTAAAATAGCGCGTTTCTGCTCCACGTTCCAAGTATGTGACTCTTCACAAAAACGAAAATGAAGACAGAATAAAAAAGACTTACCAAGGTTCTACGAGATGATGAATTTTTTCTAGTTTCTATCGGTCGTTGCAGTTTAATGATATTTTATATACTAAGATTTGCATTGAATCTAATTATGTTGTCAGACTAGCTCGTTCGTACAATTCTTTTGAAAAGAGAATGCCTTAAGTTGTACAATTAAATCAAATCGGGCTGAAATCATTGTAAATTTAATAAGCGAAATTCGTAGTCCTTGCCCAATAATCTGGAAACACAATAATAATATACAATATATTTATCTTTATGTCATTTGAGGCTATTTTTACGAGTACTTATGAAGTGTTATCTTATAAGTACTTAAAAATATTATACTTATAAATTATTGTCATTCGTAAAATAATTTATCAATTGCAATGTTAGATTTTTATAATTGATCTTTATAATGGAGGCTTAATGTCATTATGACGACTTCATAGCAAGACTTTTATAGCATAAGCAAATAATCAATTGAATGAAATGAGAATAAAGTAAAAATAAATATGTTTGATTTGAAAATTATTTGAAATATCAAAATGTAAATGTCTTCGAAAACTTTTGTATCGTTAACGAATTAAGTTAAACATGGCAGAAGAAAATGATAAGACTGTACAAAATACCTGATTACTTTCTAATACTATACTCGAACATAAATAATACATATTAGTATTCTATTCTAAATATTATTCTTTCAATGAGTTAAAAAATTGTTTTTCTGTCAAACTCGGAACAATATAAAAGCAAAAAATTTGTTTGAAACGAATTAGTAAAATTATTCCCATCTTGTGATATGTAACATAATGTTAATATTTTAATTTAATTGTGTACATATAAATTATTTGTTGAGTCGAAATTCTCTGATTTTTTTTTTTTTTTTTTTTTTTTTTTTTTTTTTTTTTAAATAATAATGATTTCTAATTAAAGTAATTAGTTGTTTTGTTTTTTATACCTTGATTGATACAAATTTACATTAGGAAATAACATTGTTGGAAGTAGTTTGTATAAAAAAATCATATTCATAACCAAATAACGATCTCTGATTTATTGGTAATTAACGCTTTAACATTTCGCACGTTTTATGGGGGGGGGGGGGGTGGAGATATTATCCTTGTCACGACACTGTTTTATCGATCGAATAATTCAAATTTTATATACACACACACACACACACATATATATATATATATATATATATTCATAGATGCATGGAATTAAAAAATTGTCTTCTTCAAGTTCACGAAGTTGTGAAACAATTGAGCTATTTATTTATTTCAAATTTTGTATAATTGTAAGAATGTTCGAAGAAGGAATCGAGTATGTAACATTGAATTTGTATGCTGTATATATAAACTAATTTAATCGAATTAACGAAAGAGTGACAAAACAAATAAAACTTCCATAATTATAATACTTTGCAAATTGAGAACAAATGGTGGATAGTACGATAAAGAATTAGAAAAAAAAAAAATTATAAGCAATTGATTTGCCATGCTTTTTAAATTATTGAAAAGCGAGTTATTACTAAAATTAATTTAATGTTTATCATCATTTGAATAATTTCAAACAGATTCATTAGATTGAAAGAAAGTTATTGCGATATCTGACATCGAAATGATTAAACATATGGGCGGCTATGAATATTCCTTACTATTTATATAAGCAATAGTTTCGTTCCTGATTGGTAGAGTTGTATTATCATATATTATAGCATTTCCTCCTAAGAATAGCATAAATTTGTATGAAATCGAGATTTATATGCGCGCGCGTGTGTATATATATATATATATATATATATATATATATATATATATAAAATATAGCACACGCGCGTAAACATATATACATTTGTATAAATATATTTAAAAATACTTGAAAAATAGAATTGATAATTTGTATACATACAAAATCTATTTTTTAAATATTTATATATTTATATACATTCAAATTTTTAATGATATGAAATTAGGACGAACTGTATAGTTGTAAAATAATAAGATTAATGTAATGTTGTAACACGCTGTTCAGCTTATCGAATGAATTATCGAGTTTTTATTACGTATCTTCTTCAAAGATATTATTCAACGAACCGCCTAGCTAACAAAAAACACACGAGGATAATAATAACAAGAGAATATTATTTATTTATCAAATCCTTAACATTAAAAAATTTTTATTAAATCGATCATGTCAATTATTTCGCAGTGCCAAGCGTTAAAACGACTATTAACACATATAGTTCACCGCTCGAACACATCACATGTACAAATGTTTATCGAATAAGATGCTTGTAAATTATTGCCGCTACAAATATTTCTTTAATTACAAAAGTATTATAGATATCATGTACAAATATTTATATTGTTTAGAAATCGGACTAAATTATATAAATTATAGAAACTTTGATAATGTGTTCTTTCTGAGTTGAAACTTTATTTCGTTTTCATTTTTTATTTTTATATTTAGCATTCGGTTTCAGTATTTATTGCGTTAATTTGGATGGAAAATAGCGCTCAATTTCCCAGACCCTTTTTCGTAATATAGGCTGATTAAATAAAACATTAAATAAACCATAATAATAAATAAATATATATATATATATATATATATATATATATATATATATATATATATATAGGGGGAATCCATTACATGG